CGCTCTGGGTAGTTCATTGAGGATCTTAGCAGTTTTGCAGCTGTCAGCTTTCCGGCTGATGTTTTTGAGGTATTGGACTTAATGACTGACAATTTCGAAGCTTCGATTTTCAGTGGAGCTGTATAGCGTTCGCGCATTCTGCGTCGCATTGCTGAGTATGAAGTACTAAGTGTGAAGTCAATGTTGGTGTAATGATTACATTTTGTCCTTCCCTCGTTGGCTGTTCTATCAGCTAGTTCGTTACCATAGATGCCCGTATGTCCTGGGATCCAGTTCAATTGGACTATGGTTCCTTCTCTTCCTTTCATTCTTTTGATCCTTTCGATTTTGTCAAGTACTTGTTTTATCAAGTATTGTCCTGTCTTTGTCGTTTGTAACTGAACGATCGCCGACAAGACCGCTAGACTATCGCTATGGATGAAGACAGTATGTGGGGTTGGAATGTGTGGGGGTATGAACTCACGTTCTACTTGCATTAATGCTAGATAGACTCTTACTAACTCGGCTTCGTATATTGTAAACAGGCTGTCAGTGCCTTTACCCATGAAAATTTTGAAATGACGTAATTATTGTGCAAGCCATGTTAGGGGTATATGCTTGCATGCTACAAACAACATCACAAGCATTAATGGGGTAGCGGTAACCTCGATCGTTGCCATCGATCGGCCCCCGGTTCGACTCCGGGTTAATGCAATAACTACCATCGAAAGATGGATTAACATTTTTGCTTCGTATTATGCATATGGCTCTTTTCTTACCTTTTTACGTAAAGGTTATTGGTATCACGCTTTTTCTTCACCTTTTGCTATCATGGTCTTTAAAGTTAGTGATAAAGCTCTCATATTTATTTGTTTGAAATATTACATTAAGGTAAGACTTGAAGAAAGTCTTCATTGAATTTCTTATCTGATAGTCTTTCTACTACAGAATTCCGCGCTCTTTGTCTCATTTCAAGGTCCTTGTTTGAGTCCAAACTGAATATTTCATCAATACGTTGAGCAAAATCCTTAACATCACGTCCATGATATCCTAAAATTATCAGGAAATAAATTAAAGTCGAACTATCAGACATACCTGTTCTCTCTCCATTGTAATCTACAATTATGTCAAGTAAAGGACCAGCAGATGCGTGTGCGAGTGGTATTAAGCCAGCAGCCTATTGATTTAGTTGATTAAAGAATATAAATAGCTCGACCTACCATATATTCAACAACATTAATGCCAAAATGTTCATCTATCATTGTGTTGATACCGATACTTGCAGTTGATAGATTATAAAGCAGATCATCGAAAGATGCATTAACAATGAATTGTACGTTAGACTAAAAAGAGTTAGATATTATTTAGTTTTGTGATTTGTTGGCTTACTTCCACACCCAATGATTTAGCTAACGCTTTCAGTGTCTCTACTCTCTTTAAATCATCTTGATTACGTGCACTTCCTAAGAGAATGAGCTTTGCATTCTTGTGGACACTATTTGATTCTTGAAGTTCTTTCAATGCTTCAATTTGAGTTGCATGTGCCTTCTCTGGTCTGTATGTTTTGTCAGCTGAAGATTCAAAATATTCTTAATACATACCTAAATTGTGCAACGCAAAGAATAGTTTTCTGTCTGCCACCTAAAGGAAACTCCCTCAATGCGACTGTGTCACAAGGCGGATAGACAATCTTGACATCTCGTTTGATCAGTTTACGCAAATGGTTCGCTGTCCAACTCGAATTTGCCATGTTGACATCGCAAACTTTCAAACAGGATGTGTATGCGCGAATAAGAGCTTTATAGTAGCTAAAGTTGGTCAGATTTAGATGAATTATGTGGATGGAAGACACACAAAAGCTTGCCCCTGCTGAGTAACTTCGACGAAGCTATTGCTTGCGAGTTCGTAACGTTTTCATAACGATGTTCGACTCTCGATACCATATCTGTACTATAAGCATTGTAAGAATTGGATTAAGAAATAAGGAAAGAAAGACAGACGATATTGTAGGATAATGCGTGTAGGCGATTATACGGGTGTTCCAATTGATTAATCTTACTATTGGATAAGTGAACGCGTATCCCATCGTATCTGCCATTCTGATAAGTCTTATCAATTGATATTAAACAACGAACCTATGAATACTGCGGATCCATTGCAACGATACATAGCTTCTAATATGAGTAATATACTACCAATTGCTTGTCCTAGTAAAGTGAAATACGGCCAAGATTTATCGTCAACTAATGAACGACAACGAAGTCTGATGAATTCTATGGTATTTTTATTAAGTTCGATGGACATTTTATTCTAATATGATCATATAAGTTTGTATCTATCGTGTAGTTCAAATGACGCCTACTTTCACATTAGACAACAGTGTTTCCTTTGATTCACTATCGCCAGTGTAAATAAATATACGGGCGGATGGTTGAGATTGCTGTATACCATATATTGCTGTCCATAGAACTCTCTCACCACCACCACCTGCATTACTAGATTGATGCAATCAGCGAGCGTATATATAATGAGAAATAACAAACCAATAGGGGTGAAAGAACGCTATACTATTCTTAGTTGACTTTGGTTTATTTCTAATAAAAATAACGCATATAATCAAACTAATAATTATCGTTATCGCCAGCATTACCTTGGACGATAACTCTCAAGATGTCTAATCGTAGGGATGTAGGCAAATTAGCCGTAGATTGTGAGTAAATTATGTTATGAATTCAAGTCACACTAACAGTCAAAAGTAATGGCATTCGCTGCTGGACAAGTAAGATTGATAGCTTTATAGATTAACAAACTGACGATAATCAGGCGGTGATATTCTACACACTTAGAGTTAGTTTATTTGCATCATTTTATACTTCTAACGTTTATATAGTACATTCTCAATTCAAACGATCCATTGAAATCTAAACGTCAAGGTACTAAGAGCAAATCAGCACAAATTTTAGATAGACTGGGTAGAAATGATATTACATTAAACGAATATGAAGGTTCGTTAATATCCTCCTCATAAATTACCCCCACTTATCGCGAGATAGAGATAATCGCATGCGAGATTGTCCTACCAGAAGAAATCAACACTACATTTGAGGATATAGGTGGATTACAACACATAGTATCAAACCTGAAAGAGAACGTTATCTATCCGCTCAAATTACCGAGCTTGTTTTCTGGTTCTCAGAATCTTCTCAGTCCACCAAAGGGTGTGCTACTCTACGGTCCACCAGGATGTGGTAAAACAATGTTGGCGAAGGCATTAGCGAAAGAGTCTAACGCCACTTTCATCAATATGCACGTGTCAACATTAACAGACAAGTGGTTCGGAGAGTCAAACAAGTTGGTTGCTGGTTTGTTCTCACTTGCGAAGAAATGTCAACCTTCAATCATTTTCATTGATGAAATTGACAGTTTCCTCCGCGAGCGTGGAAGAGGTGACCATGAAGTGACGAATATGATGAAAGCTGAATTTATGACGTGAGTTATGAGTTATATTGTGATATAACTAACTAAACTACGTTTATTAGTTTCTGGGATGGTCTCTCAAGTGAATCTAATGATAGAATTCTTGTTCTTGGCGCAACTAATCGTCCAAATGACATTGATCAGGCTATCCTAAGACGGATGCCAAAGCGTTATCCAGTTAAAGTACCAAATGATGAACAGAGGAAGAATATTTTAAATTTGGTAGGTTAACAAACATAAGCATGTTTTTTATTAACAAGGTACAAGATTCTCAGAGACACGACATTAGCTCAGAATTTCGATGTCAACCAGCTCGTTGATATAACAAATGGCTTAACTGGATCTGACTTACACGAGTTATGCAGGAATGCGGCTATGATACCAATGAGAGAGCTAATGAGAAAGCATGATCCAAGCACATTAGAACATGATATTAGCGTGAGTAATACTATTATTCAATGGCACCACTAAAATACTCCTAATAGAAAATCAAACCACGTCCATTGACGATAACGGACTTCATGACAGCTTCAAACGAAGATGAGGATGATATGCCAACATATGATCCAACTATAGATGGTAAAATACGACAAATAAGGGATAATTTAGGTGGATTAGATTAAAAGCACACAAAAGAAAAGATTTGTAGTAATATCTGCATGAATGTACACCCAAATAAGAATAAATGTCGCTTAACGGTTTGACTTGGCAACACGTTCGAGTTCATCCTTCTTCTTGATGGCGTATGAGTTTGATGAACCCTTTGAAGCGTTGATGAGCTCGTCAGCAAGACATTCAGAGACAGACTTGACGTTACGGAAAGCTGATTCACGAACACCGACGGTGAGCAAAGCAACAGCTTGGTTGACACGACGGAGTGGGGAGACATCAACAGCTTGACGACGAACGGTACCTTGGGAACCGATTCTGGTTGAGTCTTCACGTGGACCAGTGTTGACAACAGCGTCAACGATGACTTGCAATGGGTTTTGGTCGGTAAGCAAGTGAATGATTTCACAAGCGTGTTGGACGATACGGACAGCCAATTGCTTCTTACCGTTGTTACGGCCGTTCATCATCATTGAGTTGACAAGACGCTCAACGATTGGCATTTGTGCCTTTCTGAATTGCTTAACGGCGTAACGACCAGCGGTGTGTGGGAGGTAGACTGGGTGACGGACTTGAATGTAGTCAGTAAGTGAGATGTCCTTGACTTCGACGCTATAAAATGTTAGATAAATTTTCTAAGAAGAAAGAAGACGGACTCTTGGGCGTCCCACTTGCCGAAAAGCTTGACACCGGCAAGACCACCTTCTGGTGGAGCAGTAGCAGTGATCTGAGTCTTTGTTAGACGTGTATTTGAGTGAATTATTCTACTCACTTCACTTGGGAGAGTCTTGACTGGGGCCATTGCTACAATCTATAGGGGCGCAAGGCATTCGTTAGAATTGTATGCGGACTCCCGTAATGAATACATACTCAGGTGTACGCTAAAAACGTTAATTTGTTATTTTGGTATCTGGATCAAACTCACAGTCCTCGCTGAAGAAGGCTCAATAAAATTTCAAACTGAAAAGACTCTTAAAAAATTAATAATAAATGTAGAAAAATGTAAAATAAAAGGTTTATATATTAATGTGAATATCGTAATATTCCCCTCTGTCTGTTTTCCAAAGTACCGCAATCCTTAGAGTAAAGAAGATGTCGACTAATATGGAGGTTGATATGGGGGTTGATATGGTGGCTGGAAGGACTGTTGTGCAGGTATAGGATTGAATGACTTTCTGTCTGCTTCCCAGCCTGGTTGAGATGTTAGATACGATGATCTCACTTGGGAATCTACATACTACAGATATTACAGTGCCATATATGATCTGAACCAAAGGGAATTATTGGTAGAAAGCAGAATTCAAACCATCTCCTGGACTGTCAGAGGTGTGAGAATGGTTACTATCAGGAATGTCGATATACAGACTTTAAATGGTGCAAGTGCACCGTTATTACAGTGGGGACATAACAATGGCTGAGATGGTTGCTGTCCGTCTGGTTTGAGTTTCACGGGGCAACCAACTAAATTCTACGGTACATAGGTATGATTAACTACTGTAATAAAAACTCACAAGTAAAGCATAATGGTATAAAGTCCATATTAAAGTTTAATATAACACACTGATGGTTTAATAACAAGCCAATTTATCACGCTAAACACTTTACTGAATATTTTGTATGAGGTACACGAGGCTTAATTCATACTTAAGCAGAGATCAAACGACGTTGAGCAGCGACTTGACGCTTGTTACCGAGGATCTTCTTTGGTGCGTTAACATCGACGTCCTTGTTACGTGCGACTTGTTCTTCTGGAGCAGCCAAGGTAATTTCAATGTGGCAAGGGTTACCTTGGTATGGGTTGATACGACCGTGTGCACGGTAAGTACGACGACGGGTTTTCTAAGGAAATTCGTTAAGGGATAAAATTTTCGACCGGAACAAAAAACTCACTGGTGCTTGTTGGACGACGATGTGCTTGATCAAAAGATCGTCAGTGTCAAGTGACTTTGCGTCAGCGTTGGCTTCAGCGTTCTTGAGTAATCTAAGAAGGAAACCAATTGACTTGACTGGCCAACGACCTGGATAATTTGTTAGCGACATGAATATTAGTATAATGGTGATTTTATTACCTTGTGTAGTGCCGTGGTTCTTTGCTTGAGCAGCTCTACCAACACCACCGTTGAAGCGACGGAATGGAATAACGTCCTTGTGCTCTTGGACATCACCGAGGTACTTGTAAGCCTTTGAAAGCTTCAAGCCAGTGATCGCAGCAGCAACTTCACGGGTGTTCTTGAAGTGCGTACGGAGGTGTTGTCCACGAGCCTTAGCGGTCTTCTCTGGATTTTCAGCGTTGTGAGCGTATCTCTATTGAACTGTTAGTTTATTTGCTATTTTATTAATTTATGACTTCCGACCATGGCACCCTGTTGACTGTCGAGCTGAAAAGCTTCTCTCTCCTGAGCCTTAACCAAGTTTCAAATTTGAACTAAAAATGATAAATTAAATATTTATTTAGCGCTTTAAATAATTAATCCTTTTGACTTTTATTATACACTTTATTATACAGCTTTCTTCATTTACTAATGCGACATATCCTCATATCTATCCACACTATCATCTACAGATATATTCTGAATATTGTATTTAAATATATAAAACTATACAAGACGTTGATTAGTTTGCTGCTATCGTTGGCGCTTGCACCGTACTTGCTGCTACACTACCCCCTGATCCTGTCTCATTCGTCAGATTACTCAGTTTTCCACCCGCTGGTCTTTCTTCCAACTGATCGTACACCAAAACAAATTCGCGCTTTATCTTCTCCCAACTCTTAGGGTCGAAGAATATATAGCTACCTCGTTCAAGCATTGGTGTCTTTTGCACTGGTTCAGATCCCGTTTCTTTCGTCAACCAGAGTCCTAAATCCTTGTGATATCTCCAATTTCTGTTGAACCTGTTATTTTATGTAAGTATACTCTCGCAAATTTAGTAAATAAACACCAACAATTCAATTGCTGCGACCTGTTGCATGACATCTTTTGTGTGGGTGTAGAAAATGTAAAAGAGGGTCTCGTCGTGGAATTCTGCAACCTTTGTGAACGCTGGTGGTGGTGGCTGTACGTTATAGCAAGCTGGTAACGTAAATTCGGGTTCTAGGGTTGCTGCATCCCTGGCGTTGTTATCTGAGAATGGTGACACGAATGTTGAATTGAGCATACTAGAAACTTTATTAGAAAATCCACTTGGAATAGGTAAAACTCACGTCGGAGAGCTCAAATCGAGTCCAAGATTAGTCAAATCAGATCCCAATGCCAACATGCCCATATCAGAAGAGGACATCCTTATTATGTTCAACAAACCGAGCAATCCAAACCTATCTGCAGGTGAGATTAGCACCTGTTGAGCAGGGGTCTGTGCCATGGTCATATTCTGTTGCTGTTGCTGCTGTGGGTTTGCATTTTGAGCAGCCGCGAGTTCAAACATGTAATTCTGAGTGAAATAATGAGTAAAAAGAATGCAAATTAAAGAATAACGTACCCTTTTATCCCTCTGTGAAGCAGAAGGCGCAGGCGTCCTTGAACTATTGGATGGGAAGTATGGTTGTCGTATAGAATCGCCAGATTTTGACTGAACACCATTCAAAGCAGACTGATCTGATGAAAGAGCAGGAAAATCATCCTGATTAAGTGTTGCAGGTGCTGAAGCCTGAGAGTATTGATTTTGCTGCTGTGATTGCTGAGTTGGTGCACCCAAAGCAGGGAAATCGTTAGGATCCAATCTCGGCTCTGACTGATTCGGTATTACGCCTACGTTTAGTAGCTGTGACTGGTTATTACTGCTATTAGTTATTGGGTGAGGTTGTGCAGCTGTCACTGGAGAAGGACCTGGATAAGGAAAGGAGGTCTGCCTACTATTTGAGCCTGGCTGTAGGCTGGGCTGACTAAAACTCTGCCTTTGCTGCTGCTGTTGCTGTTGGATAGGCGCGAAACCTCTCAAGACGTGTGGCGCTGCCAAATAAGGTGCATAGGGCGGTCTGAAAGCTAGATTAGGTGGGTTCATAGATTGTGGCCTCTGAGGTTGTTGCCCTGCGTCTAAATTAATTAATTTTTGAAAAATATCTTCTTTTATAGTAACATACTCATCGTTCTTCTGAAAGAGTACTATCACTTAATGACAGAAAGCTATACAAAAGAGGAACTGAATACTATTTTCAAGCAATTCAAGTCAGACAAGTCTAACAAAGTCTGCTTTGACTGCCCTGCAAAAAATCCAACTTGGGCCTCTGCGACCTATGGTATTTACATTTGCTTAGACTGCAGTTCAATACATAGGAATATGGGCGTACACTTATCTTTCGTTAGATCAATTAACTTGGACAGCTGGAACACTAACCAGTTGCGTACGATGAGATGTGGAGGCAATCAATCTGCTAAGGACTTCTTCAATAAGCATTCTTCCGGCCATTTACTCAGCAACTCTGACGTTAAAGCAAAGTACAACTCCGACGTAGCAAAGTTATATAGGGAAGAGCTCGCTAAGAGGGTACAAAAGGACCAGTCTGAGTGCGTAACTACTAAGCGCAGCATCTTATCTAACCACCTTCACAGCTTGCCAGGTAAAATATACGTTCCTGGCTCTCAATCAGCTCCTATTGATGATACCAAAGCCGAGGATGGTGACGACTTTTTCGCTAACTGGGATAAGCCTTCTTCTCCCGCTACCGCACCACCAGCTGAGCCAATTGCACCACCTGTAATAGGAATGACTACCTCACAATTAAGTACACCTTCTGTGCCTTCAGAGAGCACCTCACCTGCTCCTCAGTCACCTGCTCCTTCTGCCACACCTGCTGCTGCTGCACCTAGAACGATCTCTTCAGCCTCACTCAGACAATCCTCAAGCTCAAGTCGTCCATCTAAGCCTTCTTCAAAGTTAGGTGCCTCCAAGTTCGGTGTAAAGAAGGCTGCAACGCCATTCAACTATGATGAAGCTGAAAAGAAGGCACAGTTAGAGGTAGAAAGATTAAAGACGTTGGAATTAGAAGCTCAAAAGCGTGCAGAGGAGGAGAGAGCCAAACAAGCAGCCGAGGCGGAAGCTAACGCTGCTGCCGCTGCAATTGCTGCCCAGAATGCCGAGAAAGCTCGCAGGGAAGCCAAAGCCGCTAATGCTCCAGTCGAGAAACTAGAACCACGAATGGCCAAACTTGGTTTCGGACAAACTGTATCCTTTGGGGCAAACAAATCAGCAGCAACAGCAGCACCAACGTGAGTGTTTTCTAATATACACGATAGTTGTCTAATTAGTTATAGAAGTAGCTACGCTGCCCAAGTTGATGATGCACCTACAACTGCTAGAGAAAAATTCGGCGGTCAAAAAGGTTTGTTAGTCATTTGATAATGATATAGACTAAAATCCATTTAGCAATTTCGTCAGATATGTACTTTGAACGCGGAAATTACGACGCAGATGAAAGAGATGCTGCTCAAAGTAGACTTAAAGAATTCAACGGCCAATCGGCAATCTCGTCGGATGCTTACTTCGGCAGAGAACGAAATTCGTTGGATGAAGATGAAGATGCAGATGAAGGATTAATGGGTAATGGTGATACAATTCAGCAACTTGAGAACACAGCAAGAGACTGGGCTCAAAGAGTTGCAGCTAACCCTGACGTCCAACAATTAGGTGAGGGTATCCGCGCCGGTGCATTGAAAGTAAGTTAAAATTTGAAACTTAAAACTATTATTGATTACAAAAAAATCAGTTATCAGATTATCTCGCTCAATGGTCTACAGATCAGCATTAAAAGTTAATATAATTTAGTCTGTTTTTCAATTTGTAATTCGTTCATACCATATAACATTCCAAATGTATTTGACGTATTCAGGGTAGACTGGAACGTCTATGAAAGGCGAACAAGGTTCTTCAGTTGATTCAACTAGAAATGATAAGTTTGACAGACTACGGCCTATACAAATTGATAACGTTGGTATGTATCAATTAGGAAGAGGTTAAACGACTGAGACATATCACAGGTACTGTTGCAAGAGATCATCTAGCGTCTGAGAGAACATGGTTAACTTATGTTCAAACGTCCTTAGCTATTGCTTCTATTGGAGTTGGTGGGTTGAGAGAATGACGCGAATGTAGTCTGACGATGACCGATACGACAGCAATCACACAATTGTTCGCTATCAAACCAATAGACGCAAAAGATGAAGCTAATCCATTCGAAGCTGAACTTGACCAAGCTCCTTTACAAACCAGAACAAATCAATCGCGGACGGAATCAACAAGATTCAACAATCCTCGTAATTTCTCTCGACCTATGGGAACAATGTTGATTATATTCGGAATCATTGTTTTACTACACGGCAAGTCTGATTATATTCTGTTAAATTTTTCCCTTATCTTACATTAACAGGCATGTTGAGATTTGTACAAATACAGACCGCTCTATTAGATGGTAAATTTCCATTATTATCTAGAATTACATTATTTACATCAACCGTTATACTTGCTCTATTCTTCATCACTTGCTTTGTACTCATCTTGATAAGCCAATAGATCTTAATTTTAGGATGAATATACGCCTCATAAAACCAGATAGGAAAGTAGAAATTGGTGATAACATATCTCTAGCTGTTATAGCTCACGCATATAAACCACTAGGTGGATCTAGTAATGACTTCCCACTAAAAATGATGTCAAGGTGGTTCAAGCAGGTCGGTTTCTTCGTTATTTTATACGATAGAAAATCTACAAGCTGGACAGGCGATATTGAAGTTGAAGAATATACCTCAATACTCAAAGAAGTTGTTTCAACGCAGTTATCTCAATATAGTTTATCTAAGGTGATAATTGGTGTATGTACTTTTGAGAGAACTACATAAATACTCATTAATTCTACAGGGATATAGCGCTGGATCGCTAATAGCATCTAGAGTACGTGAATTAGATTGGTTGGATTGCGAAGTGAGATATTTGCTATTATCACATCCTTTATCAGTTTCATGGGCTCTAAATCTATTTAGAGGTACACAAATAGATAATACCCTCCATGATAACTTAAAGACACACAAACATCTCGCAATATGGGGTACAAATGATCAATTTACAGGTGTCGAACGATATAGACAATGGAGTGACAATCTCAAGAGAGGATACCCAAATACATGGTCATATATAGAGATAAAGGGGGCAGATCATTTCGGGAAATCATTCGTTGATGTCTACAATGGCTTGATTGAATGGATTACAAGTTGAAAAAAAGAAGTTATGCAAGATATATCTATATTAAGCACCATGCATTTTGATAGTTGCCTTTGGTACACCCTAGATAGCTTTATTAGTAAGCGTATGCCGATTCAATATTGACTCACCTCTGTTATAAGAAATTCTTGGATCTTGAAACGTTGATCACCTTGAAGCTGGATAACTTGACCAAGTTCCTCATCATCAACAATAGTACCATTGCATGCGAACTCCTTTTTGAAAGCTTTTAATATCTTCTTGAGGTCGTATTCTGTTATTCTGATTAGAGTTGATAATTTAAAGAGAACTATCGCACCTTTTGGAATACCTTGGAGTGTAGTGAGAGTCTTACGACCATTTCTTTGTTGAATTCTAATGTGGATGTAGTTTTGTTGGTTACCGACGTTTTTGGCTGATTCGCTGCCACCACCAAAGTCTTCATCGACGGCGAATGGGTCTATTTGGGCTGTTAATAGGTTGTATACGCTGTTATATCAGACGAATTACCATCCTTTGAGAAATTTTGAATTGTTGCCATATTCTGTCTTGAGCGTTTTCCTTAGCTGAGATTCTGGATTGAGAGTGGGATAAACCAGTGTGAAAAATGACATTTTAATATCTAATTGAATTTTATATAATACTCTATTCGTCTCATATACACCGATATATGGATACGTTTCCCTTTCTTTCTGAGTGTTCTCACTGGCTGTCAGTTTGAGAGATACCTACTAGAGTATATTTATAGATATATACCATTATATGCACTATTGTATTCATTTTATTCCTACTATCTTTCTATCTTTCACGACCATGAGCAGCTTCGCAGAATCTCTAAATAACCGGGAGAAGATGCTGCTCTGTCAGTTCATAAATGAGCACAACTTTAATTATACGAGTGTAGCTAGATCACTCTCTAATCATTCGCTACTCGTCGACAAACCGGCTGGATACTTTACAGCAGAAGTTGGTAGAGCATATACTTAAATACAACGCTAACGTTGGTATAGAATTGTGAAAGCGCTTATAGAGATCTAAGTCAGGGATTAGATACAGATCAGTGGGTTAATACTTTGATAACCAACATATCTGATAGTCTTCTTAGAAATAGCAACAAAAATGCAAGTAATCCGCACGGTAGGTTTATTATATCTACATATCACATCTCTATAACTGCACTATAGCTCGGCCGCAACTCATTTTAGCTAAAAGGTACTTTAAATTGCATGTTGAGGAGATCAAGAAGTCTATCTTTGAACAGGAGCGAGAATTTAGAGCGATAGTACAGGATATAAACCAAGCAGAAAAGCGAAATAAGGAAGTAGTCGATCCATCATCATCATCGTCATTGAACGAACCATCCACTTCTGCTACTATCGATTTTAAACCAGCTACACCACAACCAGCTGGTGATATTTCAGTAAAGGAAGCCGAACCAATTCAGCAGGATGTATCATCAAATAAGGAGATAACGCAGAATGAAGAAGTAGAAGTAGCTAAGGAGTCATCGCCTAAAGATACTGAGCCTATGGATACTACTGTGGATGAGCCAGAAAATAAAGAAGCAGATGATAATGAGATAGAACATGAGCCAGAAAACGAGGAATCAAACAAAGAATCAGTTGTGATTGTTAAGGAACCATCTTCCAAGGAGATGGAGGAATTGCAAGGGTCCCCAGTAGAGCCTGAAGAACAACCACAAAAAGAAACATCGCTTGAGGAAGCGATACCTACTGAGATCCCAACAGAGGAGACCAAACAAGAGGAATCATCACCAGCGCCGCTCAAAGAATCACTTTCACCTAACAAGGAATCTATAATTGACACACCAAGGAGCTCTGAAGATATGCAGATAGACCAAAAGCATGAAGAAGTCAAAGAAACACGCAGAACATCAAAAAGAAAGAGTACAGCAGGTGATACTGCTAGCAAAACGCCAGATGATTCTATCAATTTAGGAAACAAACGTAAAAAGTTAACATTAGATGATGGTCAAAAGAAAACGCAAAAAATACTCCTGCTTTGCCTTCAAGAGATTACTGCTCATAAAGCTGGCACTATATTTACACAACCAATACGCAAAAATGAAGCACCTGGTTATTATGACGTTGTTTATTCTCCAACAGACTTGTCAACTATAAAAAAAAAGATACGTGATGGTCAAATAGTAACGATACAACAATTTAGAGCTAATATTCTATTAATGTTTGCAAATAGCATTATGTATAATCCACCTTCAAGCGATATTCATCAGATGGCGCAAGAGGTGAGTGTGTTTGATAGCTATATTAGAATACTAAACGCGTGAGATTTAGATGATGAAGGCAAGTGAGAAACTAATTTCAGAATTTTTATCAAATCAAGACTAATAATTGTAAAATATGCATTGTTTTATTATACCAGATTATGATGTCAAATGGAATGCAGATGGTGTTTATGAAGGGAACAAACGTGTAAGAAAATGATAAACTATAAAGTAGTAATTTTTATTTATTAATAAATATAACAATCCATTTTCGTAAAACGCGTAATGATGAGCCTAAAATCAGGCGCGTCGACGGTTCTTGCTTTTGATCAATAAATAATAAATGGGGGATTTTTCACCCAAAAAGTATGATACGAAATCTACAAGATCATCTCCATTCGCCTATCAACAGCGTATTCTAGAGAGAACGTCGAATTCTATACAACGCAAACCCTCAAGTTCATCAATCAGCGGATCGACACCACTTGGTTCACCGAAGCCAACATTTTTAGATGGCATTTCACAGAGATCTCCATCAAGTAGAATTTCAAGACATAGACAATCTCAAAGCGTCGGCGATGTAGCCAGTAAATGGGAAGCAAGGTCTCAAACAGAGAAGTCGAGCGTACCATTTCCTAATTACCCAAGTCGCTCACCCTCTCCAACGAAATCATCACTACCTTCTTCGGTTTTTACACCATTTTCACATAATAATCTACCACCGTCACCAACACCGGAAAGAGCACCTTCTGTTAGGAGAACACGTCCTTTATCTCTCCAAAGTACCCCCGATTTGGCCAAGAGTTCAGTCGGCGCGCTTAAAGCCCTCGGTTCTTCACAATCTGTCTATAGAACTAACTCACTCTCGAGAGCGCGTTCTATCGATTTGGAAGCTGAAAAACAGAAAACAGAGGCTCAAACGTCACCTAGCAAGCACGACAGCAATCGTAATTTGTTAGGTCGTGGCGCTGCTCCAACTTACAGAGAAAGACCTGGTGTACAGCTTGGACGTATCACGAGTGGAGACGCTGGAAATGATTGGGATGAGAATGAGAAGCCGGGCGGTTGGGAGAAAGATAAAAGGACTTCTATCAGAGACGACACTCTCCACTTCCCAGGTATCACAGATACTAATGAAGAGGTAGCAGGTCTACCAGGTAGAGTAAGGCTATCGAGAACTAACTCTTTGACTGAAGGCTCGAGAAGTACTATGGGATTGAGACGCTCAAATGCCCTCAAAAGCTCAAACACTTCTCCAACTAAGATGAATGCAAATTCCTCAGTTTTATCACGTACACAGTATATGACGCTCGATAAGCAGCGTCACTTGCTTGCAGCTTATGAATACCTCTGCCATATCTCTGAAGCTATCAGATGGATGGAAGAATGTCTCGAAAGCTCACTAGAGATGGATGAAGTTCAAGCTGAAGAAGGTCTACGTGACGGTATTGTCTTATTCCGACTTGCTAGTGTCTGGGGTTTCGGTGAAGGCATGGAAGATGGCCATTTTGGATGGGATGGCATTAGGAAGAATTACGCTGGACATAGACGTCTTTTCACTGTGAGTTTTTCATACTAACAGAATGATAGCTGATACAAGTAACAGCATCCAAATGCCAGACACTTCAAATACGTTGATAACATCAACTACTTCTTTGAGTTCATCAAACGTATCAAATTACCAGAGGTATGTACAGTAAGAATGTATTTGCATAGCTAACATCGTCAGTTATTTACTTTTGAGACTACAGATCTCTACGAGAAAAAGAACATACCGAAGGTTATTTATTGTCTCCACGCTTTGAGTTATCTTCTTGCCGGTAGGGGTGTTGCTCCTCGCATTGGTGCTCTTAAGGGTCAGCTCGAATTCACAGGTGAGTGATGCCCTTTACATTGCGAAAGCTCTAACAAGCTTTGTAGACGATCAATTACGTCAAACTCAGAAAAACTTAGACGCATCAAATGTCCCAATGCCAAACTTCGGTGGTCTTGCTTCTACCTTCGGAGAAGCCGAGCCGGAACCTGAGCCAGAACCCGAGGAAACAGAAGAAGATCGTATTGCTAGAGAGTTGTTTGAGGTTGAGAATAAGATTATTGCCATGCAAGCACGCGCAAGAGGGTTTTTGACCAGACAACAATTCGCAAATCTTCAAAGGAGGATTAAATGGAGCCAACAACCAGTCATTTCAATGCAAGCCACATGTAGAGGTGCATTAACACGTACGCGTTTACATGACATCCGTGAAGAACGCTCTGGATCTGCCATGAAGTGGGTCGTACCTCTTCAATCTGCTGCAAGAGGAAAGCTTGTGCAAGACCAGCAGAGGAATATTCAAAGACATTTTATGGTTTGCAAATCATCAATCACATCTCTTCAAGCTCAATGTCGTGGGGTTATTACTAAAGAAAACTATGATAACAAGAAGCGCCTAATTTCACGTCAGGAACGTCTAGGCGCTTATCATAAGTTACAAGCTCATTGTCGTGGTATGCTCACCAGGGATGGCTTCAAGAAGCGCACGAGTACGCTCAAGAATCGTGGTGAACTCCAACGTGCTGTTCGTATTCAAAGTTCTTGTCGTGGCTTCTTAGTCAGATCAAAACACAATGAGTTTATGGATACTATTAGGAAGCATGAGCCCTCCTTTTTAGCAATACAAACTCTTTGTCGCTCCAAAGCTGTTAGGAGCAAGTTTCAAGCAAAATCGAAGGACATCAAGGGTGTATCACAAGGTTTCATTGCTTTACAAGCTCAATCACGAGGCTTACTCTATAGAAAAGACCACAGCAAATTTATCAAATTACTCAAGAATGGTTCATCTTCAAACTCTGTGGCATTATTACAGGCATTTGCTAGGGGCTTCATTACTAGACAAAGTTTAAATGCCTTTAGACAAAAGTTGGCTTCATTATCTAAGGAGCATGTTATAATTCAAGCTTGTGCTAGAGGATCTATAGTTCGTGATGAATGCGAAAGCATACTGGCATATCTCGATGATAATCACAAAAGCATTGTTGCAATTCAAGCATTATCACAGACGGCACTTATTCAAGAAAGATATGGGCACTTGCAATCAATGCTCGATGAGTCAGCTACTTCAATCTGTCAAATGCAAAGCCACTCTAGAAGTTTCCTTATCAGAGATCATATTGAAAATATCAAAACTGAGCTCATGAATGAGCCAAATATGCGCTCAATCCTTGACTTACAATCACTTAGTCGTGCAACACTTGTCAGAAGATATGTTTGGGATATTTTCCAGCAACTTGAATCAGCAGAGGATGATGTCGTCAAATGCCAATCTCAAGCTAGAGGTTACTTGATTCGTAAAGATCAGAAAATGTGGAAACGTCATTTGCAAGTATCGCAACCTGAGGCAGTCAATCTTCAGTCTATTATGCGTGGCTATAATCAAAGAAAGAAATTCGGTGAAAAGAAAACCCACTATCGTACCAACAAGGAAAAAATTGTTAAAATTCAGGCTCTCTATCGTGGAAGAGAAAAGCGTGAACAATTTAAAGAACTCACTATGGGTAATAACGTACCTCTCAATACTGTTAAAGAGTTTGTACATCTTCTAGATGACTCTGATTACGATTTCGACGAGGAAATTGAGTTAGTAGATCTTCGCAAGAGAGTTTTAGAAGCTATTAGAGAAACACAAGCGCTTGAATCACATGTTGATGAATTAGATGTCAAGATTGCGCTGGTTGTTAAGAATGCCTTGTCATTTGATGAACTGGTTCGCGCTGCCAAAGGTCGTTTAGTAGCCTCAGGCACTTTGAATCGTAATGGCAGCGTGTTAGCAGCAGCTGGTGATCCATTCAGTCCAGGAAAAATGGACAAACAGACTGTTAGAAGGCTTGAACTTTATCAACAACTCTTTTGGAGACTTCAAAACCAACCGGAGTATTTGGCTCGTCTTTTCTATAATATGAGTAGGACAGAGGTCTCTGATAAAAATCGCCGTTTGATAGAAAATGTCATAATGACATTGTTCGGTTATACACAATCAGCCCGCGAGGAATATCTCTTCCTGAAAGTTATGCAGGTAAGTAGCGCGTTTTCTCAACTGCCTTAAACTAATCCAAACAACAGAGATCGATGCACGAGGAGATTGCATCAGCAAATAAACTTTCAGATGTTGTTCGAGGTTCCTTTACATGGGTTAAAATGTTCTTGCTTTACCTTCGTGGACCAGAAAAGAAAGGGTTCTTGAAGCAAGCGCTTGGACCAAGAATTACAGAGATTACTTCACTCGAGTCGTTTGATCTTGAAACTGATCCAGTGGTAATTTGGAAACAAATCATTAATTACCAAGAATTAGAAAGTGGTGTTCCAAGTGATAAGAAGAAAGATGTTACATACGAAGAAGCTATATCTGATTCTGATACTCGCGTTACATTCATTCATCACCTTCAACAACTAAGACACGCGACTGAGCACTTCCGTGAAGATATTCAAAAGTCAATGAAGAAGATGCCTTATGGTCTTAGATTTATTGCTAGAGAACTTTATTTGGCTCTTCGAATTAAGTTTAAGAACGAAAGTGAAGATGCCTGTAATAGAACGATAGGACAGTTAATCTATTATAGATATATTCATCCAGCTATCGTAACTCCAGAAACATTTGACGTTGTTCCAAAGGTATTAGATCCATTACAAAGGAAGAACCTAAACGAAATCGCCAAAATGCTCACTCAATTGGCCATGGGTGAAATATTTAGTGATGAAAATCCATACCTTACACCACTGAACGACTACATCCTCGATGCATCTTCTAAGTTTATTCCTTGGTTCGGCCAAGGTAGGTATACTCTTAATAGGTGTAACTTATTAACCCTTTTTAGTTGCCGATGCCGTTGATGCTGAAACTCATTTCAATGCTGGCGAGTTTTTAGAGTACAACACTACCAGAAAACCTTCGATTCACATATCACCAAGTGAAATTTACGATGTACACTCCATTCTCAACCAAAACTTAGACAAAATTGCACCAACTGGAAATGATCCATTGCGGGGTATTTTGTTAGAACTTGGAGGACCTCCATTACCAGCGCAAGGAGAATTGTATGAGGCACGCAAGAGGGCAGTTTCTTTGACATTAGCTAATCGCAATGCTCAAGTGGATAATCCAAACGATCCACAAACACATAAGAAACAACTTTGGTTACAAACTAAACGCCTTGTTTTAGCAGTTCTCAGAATACAACCTGAACGTACATTAACCCAATCGTTTATCACTGAAGTTACGGAAGAACATGAACATCAATGGCAATTGTTTGTACAGAAGGAATCATCACTTGAAATGTCGAGAAAGTCAGGAATAAAAGACACTACTTCACCATTCTTAGGTTCAGGGTACAAGATAAATGACATCAAACAGATGCGTTACACTGAAGTAAAAGCGACAGCAATAGAGTACTGCTTACAATTAGAAAAAATTGGAGAGATAACGAGAAAAGATCACTATCAAGGCGTACTCAATGCCATTGCAGTTGATGTCAGAAACAGGAATAGGAAGAGAATACAAAGACAAAAAGAGCTTAATAGTATGGAAAATACTTTAAAGATACTTGATGAAAAGAAAGATTATCTTCACAACCAACAAGAAGCTTTCAATTCATATATTGAAACATCTATGCAGTGAGTTCTAATTTTCTTTGTCTCATTTCTCACTAAGATCTCTTTAGAACTATGCAGAAAAAAGGAAAGAAGCGTTTTGTTTTACCATTTACCAAACAATGGTCTCATTTGAGGGACTTGAAACATAATGGAAAGAGGTTCAAGTTCGGCTCATACAAATATAGCGCACAAGAGTAAGTTTCTATTGTTAATTAGACACAACTAATAATAATTAGACTCTACAATCGTGGTTTGCTGCTATCTATCCATCAAGTATCACCTAGACAATTCGATGGCTTGTTTATCACCTTCAGTTCTGACGAAATCGGTGTATTTAAGATAGACATGAACCTGGCTGGAGAACCAAAGCCAATGGCCAGTGAAGACGTTCGATTGGAAGATATGTTACAGATGCAATTTGAGAACAAGAGCTCAATAGCAATCTGTGAAGGTAATGTTAAGTGTAATTTGAACGTATTGCTCTTCCAATTATACAAAAAGTGAGTTATTATATTCTGTTAATAATCTAGTTAACATTCTTCAGGTTCTATCAGTAAATAATATCCATCATTTTTCTTGTTCATTCGCACTGTTGTAATTCCATTTATTAGCATATAAACATAATCTAAAAATAACTTAGTCGTATAGACCTTTTAAAAGGAAGTTTGTATAATATACCAGCAGTAATGGCTTTACCAGCTTAACAATAAGCTGGAATGCCACTGAGACAGTGAAATTACTTCAGAACGTTCTAATCTGAAACTTTTGACTAAGCTAAATGTCTCTAAATAGTACATTCGCAATTTGAAACTTTTCCTAGTAGCTCATAAAGCGCTAAAGCGCTTGGATGATAAGATCACTAAAATTTTGCAATACAATTATTTCTTCTAAGTATATGAAGACTTCAGCTATGTCTATGACTATACATACACCTGTGAAAAGAAATTAAAGCATTTGTTAGTCAGACTATCGTATAGACACCATGTTATGAACTATATTTGCATGAGTCACAGCTAAAATACTTCCACCTTATTTGAAGTAACGTGATTACTCACCTAACAAAGCTTATTTAGGAATATATAATCTTCACACCAAAATTTTTTGAAGGTGTGATACTTTAAATTTCAGACAGCTCATTCTATAATCGAAAGTAAAAATCAAAACAAGACATCTCCTTGTTATCTACACAACCAGGGGTATAATACACTATTCGAATCATCTATTCACATTCAGACTCAATATTGGCGGATCGTATCTGGCGATTATCCTACAATGGGAAAGAGATGAGGAAGAGCCGTTATGATTAATCAGCAAAAAAGCTTTTATCAGTTATCTTTTCAAATCTTCACAACATCTTGTTTGAATTGCATAACAAATATCATGTATATACACCGCTGAATATTTCCTTTGAAAGCTGTATCTTCTAATAGTCGTTTTTTATTGAGTGTTGGTCTTTGGGTTCCATGGTCCAGGATCCTGTTTTCATGATTAGAACAGAACAAAATAAAGTAGAGTAGCACATACAGAGAAAATATCTTCTTCACTTTTACCACCAAAGTCTTTTGGTAAGTTCTCTGCTGGAATTTGCTTAAGCAAGTCATCCTTGTAGGATTTACCGAGGATGACGATCTTTGAGACAGTGACAGGGTCTAACCAACCCTTAACAACGCTCCAAACAGTTGTGAAAAGGAATGGTGCGTTAATAATGTAGAATTTACCCATTGTTTCAGGACTGAATTGATCATTAGACCCTATGATGACATATTATATTTCAAACTTACTAGTAATTTTGACCAATGTTACTAGCTTGAGCTACGTAATCTTTAACATCGTAAAAGCTCTTTATTCCGACGTTGTACATATCAAGGATAGTACATGAAGTCTCAATATGCTTGCCTGATGCTTCTGAGCATGCTGGGAATCTAGAGTCAAAGCACTTTTCGTACTCGTAAACGAGGTGTTTAAGCATGCGTTCAGCTGTTGTGGCTTTGTAGAGTTCTGGTACGTTGAGGTATCCGAGTCTTTCAATATAAACGGGTCTACCGTCCTGTTGGGGGGTGTGAGCGCATTGCGATTGGGTATTTGAAATGATAAACTAACCTTATCAGTTTTGTAGTAGAACTTTGGGTAATATTTGTTAATAGTCTCTAACTCGTTCTGGTCGAATTCCGATCTAAACTGATTGTTAACTATGATGATAGAGTGGATACAGTGATACTGACTCTTTAATAGCATCTACACCGAATTCCTTTCTCCACTTTTCAGCAGCGTCAAGCATTTCTTCGGACTTTTGTAAATCAAACTTCCTAGCTCTGAGGAATCTGAGTAGACCTCTATCATCATGTCTCTTTTCGTTGTAATAATCCTTAGCTTTGATAGTTTCTCTGAATGTATCTAGAGCTTGCTTTTGGTCTGCGCTCAAGTCTTCTAAAGTGCCTGACATTTTGGTAGTTTCTAACGACGACAGACACGCAGCAATATCGATATAAAGTCAAAAAATTTAAGAGAAAAGAATGTACAACAATCAAAACTTTATATAAAAACATTCCTTTTATTTGCTGTAAACGTCTATAATCTAATAATATTGGGTATTCCACTGCTGGTTGAAATCAAGTGAAGTTGATTCCTCAGGTGCTGTCAATTGATAAAATTCATTTTGGCTTTCGTTTACTGGCTGCTGTTGATACGCCGTATAATCAAAGCTTTCAGCTGGCGGTGCTGCGTAGTTTATCGCGGTTGTTGGTCTCAATATCGTCGATTGGGCGATATTAGTTGGTAAGGTATACATTCGCGCTGGAGGTACCACATAAGAGGAGCTGGAAGGTGTATTGTTCAGCTCTAGATTTAATCCAGGTAAAGACGTCGATTGTCCGATAAATCTATCTTCTGACGTAGCGTATGCGGGCGTCTGAATTTGATTTACACTTGCTGACCGATAAATTGGTGGGATTACAGGTATCGGTGTTGCTGTGTTCACTTTTGGCTTCAATTTGACCTCGTAGGCGTTAGAATTACCTTCAGAAGATTCAATTGAGTAATTTTGCAACTGCGTACTTTTAGTCTGTTCCATTGGCGAAGTAGTAGGTGATATTGATTGTGGACTAAAGGCCGTTCTGCTTTCAGGAGAAGGTGCCATCAAATGAGAGATCGGGTTGAGTACTGGGTAATTATCTGATGGAGACATTGCGAAAGGTGGGCTTGGCCTTGTAGTAAGATGTACCGGATGGATTTTTGTGCTAGTAGTTGTACGTCTACTATCAATTGCGGGTAATATACCACTCGATGTCGATGGTATAGGCAATTGTGGGTTCGATAAGTAATTAAATGGTATAGTTGGGCTCTCATCTGTATCCCTGTCATCCATATTTTGTTCAGTTTTAGCTGATACTTTTCTACCGATAAAAGATCCTTTAGTTCTACCACCTTTACTTAATAACTCTTTAGGTACATCGGTAACTGATTTGATTCCAGCTCTCATAGCTTTAGCGGATGATAAATCAGCTTTGCGAGATCGAGGTGATAGGTGTGTCCTATAACTAGTACGTGTTAGATACTGAGACAACCATATTTAGTAAACTCACTGTTGTTGTAAATTATCCTGACGGCTACATCTTGTTAAACATCCTATTACATTTCAATATAGTTAATTTAACTGAGTAACTACCCACCAGGCCAGGGACAGGCAAAAGCTCTTTCCCCAGTATGCGTCCTCTGGTGCCTTGACAGATGTCCTGAAGTTGTGAACGTTTTCTGACATATTCTGCATACGTGACTTTTCTTCTTTGACGATTTACGCCTATTTGCTGGTTTCTTATCTTCATCTGCTGAGCCAGGAGAGGAATGCCTATCATACTGTTGATTTGAAGTTGATGGATTGTATGGAGAGTCAGGAGACGACATTTTAAACTTATTGTTCTGAACAAACTTGGTTCATATTCTTTTTGTCGTCAGAGAAGAAGCTTGTATCTTGGTACCTACCGCAGCAAAGTGGAAAAATTTGACGGCTTAATGTATTATAAGGCGTAGAAAGTAATTAGTTTATCCTCTCAAGCAGCTAATCGTTCCTCGTTAATGAAGTTTTACCGATCTGCTTCATCACTTTTGTGGGGGAAAAGTCGATTAAGTTTGATTCTTAAATATCATATACCGATTTACAGGAAAATCATTTCAAAAACTTTCTAAAGTCATCTTGAGATTTCGCGTTGTTATCAGACGCAGTCGATTGTGAGACGGGATTGATTCCGCGACTACCGATCTTTGGTTTCTTAGAATTTCTGGGAACCATATGACCAAACTGAGCTGAACTACCTGATGGTTGCTTTGATTGATCACTTTTGGAAGATAAGTTCAAAGGCTTTTGATGTTCTGATTCATCGGATAAACTCAGTATTTGACCATTGATTGATGGTGCCTGCATCAATAAGATTTTCGACATTTCCTGACGATCGAAAATGAATATAGATGATTACGTACTTAAATTAATACTTACCTTCTCATCTTCAAATTCTACAACGGCAGCACGTTCAATGCCATTCTCATTATACCAAACTTTTTTGATCGGTGCGATCTTCTCAAAAGTTTGTTGTAAAACAAATTCCTTTACGCCTTCTGGTATGTTATGAACCCTGATCGATCTGCCAAAACGAGGTCTAGCTGGTGCATTTGCTTGTCTAATTTTGTTAGTTGTATGTTTCAGGGGTGAGTTAATCACCACTAACCTTGGTTTTCTGTTTGACATTGTGACACTAATATGTTTTCCTTTGATTTCAGCATTATTTAAAGCAAGCGCAGCCTGAGCTGATGTCTATTTCATGTTAGAATGACGCTTAATATGATCTTCGCACTAACAGCATTCTCAAATTCAACATGTGCAAAGCCTTTACAGCTTCCATCATCTCTTAATCCCATTTTGGCGTTCTTAATAGCTCCAAACTATCGTAATGTAAGATGAAAATTCGAAAATATGACAATACGCCTACAGGTTCGAATAATTGCACCAATTCATTCTCTGACATCCTCTTTCCAAGCTCTCTTACGAACACTTCACAACCATTGACGAAATCATCTGATCTTGATTTACGCTTCGATGGATCTGATATAGCAACAGTAAGAGGATGCTTATCTTGTTGAATTCTGCCATTAAGTTCCAAAGATGCCTGAGCTGAAGTCTTTGATAAATTAGCAAAACAACTAAACAACTACGTTAATGTTCACTTACTGGATCTAAGAATGTAACGTAAGCGAAACGACGATTTGTTTTCACAGAGCGACTAGGCCATCTTGTATCAAAGATTGTACCATATGGTTCAAATAGCGCTCTTAATTCCTCGTCTTTGGTTCGTTCAGGGAAGTTTGTGACATAAAGCGTTGCTGACCATCCCATAACAACATTTATTTCAATATCTTCGATCCGCTTCTTATCCTTAGTAAGAGCAGCAAGGACATCATCCTGAGAAGAGTCAGTAAGATTGAAGTAAAATCTCTCACGTACTCGACTATTGAACTCAACTGTCGCTGCAGATTGACCTTTCAATTGTTTTAAAATGATCTCACGAACAGTCCCACACTTGGGCAATTTAGTAACTATCGTAGCTGGAGGAAGTAACTTACATCTTTGAATAATAACTTGATATCAACATCGCTTATGCCTGATGGAAGTCCACTGACCATGACTGTAGTATTTTCACGATCCCTATTGACCAATTAATAACTTTATCTCAAAACTGTTGTTTGACCTACCTCTTTAACGTTTCTACTGCTTGTTGTACCTTGTGTCTTTTAGTGCTTTCATCATCGAGATCTTCGTCTGCCTTCCTCTTAACACCACCGGTTGTGTTTTCAGATATGTCTATTGGATTAGTCGCCTCGTTTACAGCCACAGCTGGTTGCTGCTGTTGTGTATACATCTCATATGCTTGAGCTGCTTCCTGAATAAACGTAAAAAAATAAAACATTAGTAGGAAACGAGAAGCTTACCTTTGCACGACGCTCTGCTAATGATCCAATAGCTTTGTTTATAATAAAATGTGCCTGTTGTCTAGTCTCTAAACTACCATAGTGATCCTCAAACTCTCTGTAAGCTTGGTGTATAGCTTCAGGATAATCAATGAATTGACGTGGTGTAGCAGACTTGAAGATGTTTCGAGCATTATCATAATTCTTTGAACGTATTTCGAATGCCGCCCAATCTAACCAAACTGCATAATTTGTTCTTTGAGCATTGTTTTTGGTCATACGTTGAAATATTTGTGTCGCGGCATTTTTTGCAGTCTCATCATCGATTCTTTCATGCCACGATATTGCATACTTTTCAACTCTGTTGTAAGTGTCACGACCTTTGACTCTTTCCAAGCCATCTTCCAAAACAGCGGCTACTTCAGGATATACAATTTCTAGATCTGCATCTTGTAGTGTATGACGCAAATAGGAAGCCCTTGATATAATTAGAGCTACTAGGTCATTTACCCTTGATTCAAGGAGACCTGATGATATTGCTCTTGCATAAGTTTCTTCAGCTTTGTTAGGCTGATGACCAAACTGTTCGTTAGCTCTGATTAAAGCTGCCCATAATTCACCAGACCATGGACAAACTTTAACAGAACGTTCAATCACGTTTAATGTTTTATCTGGTCTCTCTTTGTTATTTAACATCCAATTGACATAGGATTCCCATATGGTTGCAATATTTGTAGCAGTAGTTTCATCAATTGAACCTGATGGGCCACTTCCATCTTCATCTGTAGTACTACTAAATGGATAACAATCTCTAGTTGCTTTCTCGAACAATGTCATGATTACCTTGTTGTTGGCTAATTTGCGCTTTCCATTCGGAGCTTGTGCATAATAAAGGTAAGCCTGGTAGGCTTCAACAGAAGGATTTAAATTCTAAGAATTAGATTTCAACGAAATTAAAGAGCAGGAAGTTCCACACTTACGAGAGATGTTTCATACTGATCGTAATCGTCATAAATACTTTGGCCTTTCTTGTAGTCCTTGTTAGCTGCGACCATGTGTGATTCATATTGGGCATTGTCATAACTAGTGATAAATCCAGAATATGCACTGAAAGTATCTGAGTGATCTGATGAATGTCTTAGTGAGTCAATGGAATGATTATAACAAACATACTAGAGTGTGGTATTTTGAGTCTAGCAATATAGAATTGTTGTAATCTTTGTATTGATTCTGGGCTATAAAAATCAATAAGAGTTGACTGAGCTAACAAAAGAAGACTCACCTAGTTGAAGCCTGATATAATCAGTTTAGAAAGAATTAAATAAGTGTGGTACTGACCTCCAAGTATTTCATTTCCCAATCTCTCCATAAATCCCAAATTTCACAGCTCTATGGGAAGTTTAATATGACGCTAGATAATTGATAAGATAACTCACACCGGTGAGATCCCACTCCAGGCCTTCATATGCAGTAACAAACGTTTGCCTTATATGCTCCTCACTGAATGTATCCTCCATTATATTCTGTGCTTGACCTTGTAGAAGGTAGTTGATGTAATGAAGTGATATCTTCTTGGAAGAAGGTACATCCTCAATAGCAGATAAGAAAGCTTTCTCTTTATCATCATATGATTGATCAGGAATATTCGCTATTCTATCCAGATGAAATGCTATTGTTGTAGATTAGATGAAGTAATAGAACCGTAGATGATACAAACCTTCGCCAACTGACCAGGATTCTCTCCAGTGATTCCAGACCTCTTGATATTGATCTTGCATATTTAATTCACGAGCTGTACTTGTCGCTCTCACGAAGGAATGAAATGATTGGTAGGGAGAAGCTAGTAGCTGATTAAAAGCGTTCTCTAACGTTGTCATTAACTTCATTTGTCTCTCTTCATCAGTCATTTCGAGGTCTTTCCCCATTTCGATCTTGAGTGTTCTTGTTGAACCTCTACAGCGACTATCGAAATGGCGGAGAGTGAGTCTTTATAAGAAATCAATTCAAAAATTACTAATAAATGTATCAAAGCTAAAACTGGTCAATTGAATTTACCTAAATCTGGTCAAGTTGAGTGAGTCGTAACGATCTATCCTCATTCTTGGATTTCTAACAAATTTATAAGGGAAGATACAACGAAATTACAAGCCGGTAATAGATCACCTCATACTTTAATGGCTGATCAATTCGAAAGTATGGAATTTGGTGCACCTGAGGGTCTTGAGTATGTCAGATTGCTATTTTCACTATTCTTTCTTATAGATGTCTAGTATTTCAGAGCCAGCTAAATCACCTACGCCTTCAACAACACCTCAGATCTCTCAATCTCAATTGTCCGCTGAATCAAAAGATACTGCTCAAGTTATTACACCATGGGATGTACAAGGTGCTGTCGTTGATGGAAAGAATGTAGCAGTTGATTATGACAAGCTTATTGTTCAATTTGGTACAAGAGCTATCGATAACACACTTTTAGAAAGATTTGAGAAGCTCACAAACCGTAAACCACATTTGTATCTTAGACGAGGAATGTTCTTCTCCCATAGGTTGATAGCTAGATTTGTTTTTATATTTTTACTAATAATAACCCCAGAGAACTCGACCGTATTCTCGATCGTTATGAACAAGGAAAGCCTTTCTACCTTTACACAGGTAGAGGTCCAAGTAGCAACAGTATGCATTTGGGACATATGATCCCCTTCATGTTCACCAAGTGGTTACAAGAAGTATTTAATTGCCCACTGGTCATTCAATTGACAGGTATGTCTTATGTCTTACTTTACTCTTATGTTACGATCTAAAAAAAACTCTTAGATGATGAAAAGTTCTTATTCAAAGGCAATTTAAAAGTAGAGCAAACACAAGGTTTTGCAAGAGAAAACGCCAAAGATATTATTGCACTTGGTTTCAACCCGGAGAAAACTTTCATCTTCTCTGACTTCGATTTCGTCGGGTAAGTACTGCTTTTAATGAAATATATCGCCTTACAATCATCAGCGGTGAATTTTACCACAACGTTGTTAGAATTTCAAAGTTGATTACATACAATCAAGCAAAAGCAGCATTTGGATTCAATGAATCAGATTCAATTGGAAAGGTCCATTTTTGTTCAATACAAGCTGCACCATCATTCAGCAACAGCTTCCCAAACATTTATGGAAAAAAACATGACATACCTTGCTTGATTCCTTGCGCTATTGATCAAGATCCTTACTTTAGATTAACACGTGATGTAGCACAAAAGCTCAAGTACCCAAAGCCAGCATTATTACATAGCAAATTCTTTCCAGCTTTACAAGGATCACAAACTAAAATGAGTGCATCTGACACGAGTAGCTCCATTTATATGACTGATAAACCAAATGAAATTAAAAATAAAGTAAACAAACATGCTTTCTCGGGTGGTCAAGCTTTAGCAGAAGATCACAGAAAATATGGTGGAAATCCTGACATTGATGTTTCTTATCAATATTTAGGTTTCTTATTAGACGACGATGAAGAGTACGAGAGAATTGGCAATGTGAGTATTATTTTTACCAAATAGGATCTTTTTGTTTATAAGTATAGGACTACCGTGCTGGTAAGATCCTCTCAGGTGAGATGAAAAAAATTTGTATCGGAGAATTACAGAAATTCGTTGCAAACTTCCAAGAATCTAAGGCGAAAGTTTCAGATGACATACTGAAGATTTTCATGGATCCATCCAAAACTATAGACGGCTTTGAAGGTATGTTTTCAAGTACCTCTATCCTGGATTAATGCTAATGAATTATATAGGTTTGACACCACCACAATCAAAGTAATGTTTTAAATAGGTATACTACATGTTCTTTTTGTTTACAAATGCTTGCTTTTGTGAGATTCCGTTATTACTCGCACCATTAGTGAGCTTCTCTACGGGTTCGTTATCATCTGAAGAAGAATCACTTCCTTCATTGAATGTTTTGAGATCATTAACTAACTTAGTCCTTTCAATATTTTCTTGAGCTGTACCATCAACTTGCTTTGAGTCAATGTCAGAATTATAGTAAGACTTTAGATCGATTTGTTCGATGTTCTTTGTTGATGTTTTGTTTGATCTGTTATAATCCCTCACTAGTTGTCTACCTTTCAAAATTTCCCGTTCAATCTTGAACCTATTTTCGACTATATGCAATTTTGGCCATGCTGCTAACTGGCCCATTTTCATCATCCGCTTCAATTCAGTTCTATCGGGATCTGATAATATATGAATCCAATCAAGGAATCTAGTTCTTGGCCATATAGTTATACTACCTTCAAACTATGTTTCTTCATTAGGGGTAGGCTTGATTGAGAAGAGTTAACATACCTTTTGAAGGAACACTGAAGAGAAGTCTGTCGCTAATATCTCCGGCATTAACTCCAAATCTCTAATAACTTTCAAATTTTTACTGAGTTCTAATTTCAAATATTGCTCAGCTGCCTAGAATAATCGTGAATGATTTGACCTAATCCAAGTTCACACTTACAGCTAAAAAGAAGCCACCACGCCATCCTTGTCCCCTTCGATGTGCTACCGGCTTTCCAGCCGATCCTTTGAAGTAAAATTAGATAAGTCAAAAGGGATAAATCTAAGCGTACCTCTCGGCGCATAGAAGAATAAATGTACGTGAGGATTGACTTGTGATACAATCGCATGATTGACTGAACGTTATCAGAAGTATTCGTTTAGTGCGAATGTGAATTTACCGTTGTATACTACGCTTTCGTCAGAAAGATAAAGACAGATATGATAGACCTACAGAGATTCAATGATTGTAACGGAATATCAACACGTATCGATCCATCTTTAAATCTAGCACCCAGACTAAAAGGCTCAATGGAACCATCTCGACATTTACGCATCAAAACGACTGGCGGTAAGATCTATTTAGGCGTAAGTGATAGATTAATACGTTTGAAACAACATACACCTGGTACAGCTGCCGAGCTATGATGAAATTAATATAAATCCATCAAAGGCTACACTAATACTTACGCAATAATTGCTGACCAAATTACACAATCAGGTGCTGTCAAATGATTTAGAATCTTTGTAGGGCTATGCCTGTCTGATGGTGTGACTGAAATATTCAACGATCTTCCCGTTCGTTCGTATGCTTCTTGAAATGTCATAGTACCTCTTGTAAAGAACATTGACTGTAAAATTAGTCAGAAAGTACCAGGTGTATTGACGATTCACTTACCTTTCTGGCCCAAGACACGGTATCAAACCTGGCTCCAGTACGCCACCATCGTCTAAACCAAATCGAAATGGATTCTTCACAAGCACTTATCTTATCTGCAAGTTCAGGTCTATTGAGAAATCAGGTCATGGTCCTACATTCAAAGATAAACGAACCTAAGCAATTGGGATAGTTCTTGGTCATTCCGGGTTGCACATAATGCTGCGACCAGTCCGCCTGCTGAAGTTCCAGTAATTACTCGAGGTAAAAGTTTGGCATCTAAAAAAGCTTTTAAGACACCGAAATGATAACTATCCAGTTGTTAACAACATAGAGGGTTAGAAAGATGTAACTAACTATCCAAAAGATCCGCCACCAGATAAACATAATGCTGATTGGCCAAAATTGCGACTAAAAGATTTGAAAAGAACGCGCTTTTGTTCAATTGTTACAGAGGGATGGTCACGAATGATTGCTAGTGATTGGCTTACTGTGAAAGGATTAAATAGGCTTATTAGCGGAATTATTAGCGTACTCTCATTGATGTATTCTTCAATAAGAAGTTTAGTTCCATAGAAAGTCTATGATGTGAGTTTTTGTATGAGTTGTGGAATCTAATACTCACTTCACTATATAGACGAGTGCTTTCTGTGCCTGCGAAATTGTTCTTAACGCAGACTTCAAGTACGCCTAGCAAACCCTGTATGTCATCACTATGGCGCTTATCTTTCAAAGAAGATATCACCTAATGGATAATTAGATAGGATAATATGATACGTGAGAACAGCTACTTTTTCAACTAATAATGAGTCGTAGTAAATACCACTTTGATTGTCTAATTTCCAAGTATCCAAGCCCAAGTGGTTGTCCATTTCAATTGCAGCACTCTTCCATTGATCGAAGTCCCTTGCATTCCTCATTTTCTGCCTAATACGACCAGACTTGCCTCTGTCTGCATGTATTTGTTAGATCCGGTACGTGAGTAGGTAAAGGACGAACGCTGAATGGCCCATTCCCATAAGTTAACTATCTGGCGTATAGAGACGTATATGAAGAATTCTATGGATATAGTGAAGAACAAGATTACGAGTAATGGATATCTGATAGTTGTGTACGCTAGAGATGATTTCGACTTGGGCCTTCTAAGGAAAGATTAGAAGAGAGGCTGGAACTAAGTATGAGTACCTTTGAACTCTCTCATGGACGGGTGCAAAGTCACTGAGTGCAGATATCCGCGTATCTTTATCTATACTGTCGACCTGACTTAATGCTAATCTGAAAGATTGTATGTGGCTATGAGCAAATGATGAGAGATAGACGTCAAAATAAAAGTATTAATACCTCTCATTAACGTAATCTTCTTTAAATATCTCTAGTTCGCTATTTGATGAAGGTGACATCAGTTAAGCTAAAGTATAATACCGCACTCTATGACATCAGTAGAACAATAAATAAAAAATTTAAATTTAGAAAGCAATTTTAGTATTCAAATCTGAGATCTCTTCTTGTAATTCCGCGTATAATTGCTTGAACTCTTCTACTTTATCCTTTATTTCATCCTCTTGTCCTTTCTTTGGCTTTGAAGATTTTTGTGTGATCATCATACAACTCGTTGGTCTCTTAGTACCTGAAGCTTCACCTAACTCCTCCTTTGATGGGATGTAAATGTACGATATACCAGATTCTTCACAAAGTATTGGTATGTGAGTTAAAATATCTATTGGTGAAATATTTCCGGCTAAAATCACAATACTGTAAGTTTGTGAGAAGAGTTAAAATCAGTAATAAAGGAAGCTCACCCCTTTTCACCTTTGTTTATACCTTTAACGACTTCTTTTACACCTCTCTTTAAGTTTCTAGTCTTCGCTGCTCTCTTTATACACTTTTGTATCTTCTTGTTCAATTTTTTGTTAGCTAATGGTTTAGCGATTGGTGATAGACTATCCAAGTTAACATCCTCTGACTCTAATTTTGTCTTTTTCTCCTTCTCTGGGTTGTTTGATGTAGATTTCCTCTTTTCTGATGGCATTCTTGGTAGTTTTCAATCAAGGAGAAGATAAAGAAAAATGATTGATAAATATTTATCCTCAATAAAGGTATGTTTTCATTATTATTAGATTTATTAATGTAAATTAATTAACTCACCAATAGCCATTATTAGATAGTAATGACAACTACAGCGCACACCAAAGAGTGAGAACTATTTCAACGAGATTATCGAAGAATGGCAAATCAAAGGAGTCAATTGAATTGTTATTCACCGTATCAAAGTCGCTCTTAGAGAAATCTGAGTGGGGTTCGGCTATCGATTGCTCAATATTGATGTTGAATCAGTTATCAAACTTAAACGATTGGGATCTTTCTTTGGTAACTCAATTGATATCTTTAACCACTAACGAGAACAGCTGGAGGAAGAAGTTGATCGATAACGCTATAACAACCTCGGCAACTTCATTCAAAATCCCTTCTGGTCATCCAGATTTATTGGATTTCATCGGTAACTTATACTACAAAGAGCGTTCTTATCCATTGGCTGAATATTACCTCATATTAGCTTCAAAGAAGGAATCCGCTGTCACTTTAGCTAAATTATATATACAATGGTCACAATCTCCTAATCAACATCACAACGATATCGGTAGATATGCTTTGAGGGGTGTTCTCGCTTTCATCCTTGCAGAACAAGTCGAAGCAGCTATCACCTTCACTTTAAATTTCTTGATTCAATTACAATTAACGAATTCAACTATATTCTTAGAGAATCAGTCACTTGATGGTATCACTCTTACTCATTCTCATACTTTGAACTTTGCTCAATTCATCATTGCCTCAATACAAAGAAGCTCTACATCGAATATCGCACAAGAATGGAAATCTTTAGTTAGTCATTTTAAGAACAAGAGTGATATTATCAACTCTCAACCAGTTGCACAAGTAAGTCTTCACTTTAGCTCATATAAGTCATTTACTTACCAAACAGGCTTGTACTGAAATAGGTTCACTCTACTTTGATATCAGACCTGTAAATACAGGTGGAAATATGATGGATATCATGTCTAGCCTTCTAGGCGGTGGTGCTCCTTCAAATCAATCAAAACTTAAGCTCTTGAACAAGAACTCAGCAGCTGAATTAGATTGAACTCTGTCTTAAATATCCTTCAATCATTTTGTCGCTTAAATATGATACTCCTTCATTCATACTTATTGTATTAATGGCAAACTTTTCGCTTAATTCATTAGCATGAGAACAATGATCGGAAATGTTGACATAAATATTATTTATAGTGTACATAAGGGAACTTTATCAATCTTCATATTCTATGTTATTGATAGATCTTCTCTCTTATTCAGCGGTACTACTGACGTTTGATAGACTGCATATTACAATCAGCCTATGTAAACTTCGTGGATCCATCATTATAAATATAAAGTTTGAAAGCTCTGCGCTGTGATTGAATATGCGTGCATGCGAATATATGTAGAAGGTATACTGGTATTTGAACATGTATATACTTATAGATTATCTCAACGAGAATTCAACTAAGACACTGGAGACTCCTTATTATGCTGACTCACTATTCGAGCTTCTATTTTCAATTTCATTATCATTAAACCGAACTCCTTTCTTTTCCTTGTCTGAGTCTGAATCAATCGTGGTAGAAGTTTCACTAATGTCTTTTGTATCATTGCTGCTATCGTCCATGCGCTCGTCGCTTTCCTGAAGCTTCTCTTTTGGAGCTTCGGTTAGAGATGGAAGGAAGCCGTTATTTTGCAGTGACGCAAGCATGTCAGCCGCCATAGCCGCTTCATTACCTGCATGGCTAACGCTGGATTGCCCTTGTGGGATTGGAGGCAGGGAACTCTTGCGATTTCCTCTTCTTGCTCGCCTTCTAGGTGCTGATTCACCTTGCTTAAGCTTTTCTAGTAGCGTATCCATAATTGATTCTCCTGCAGGATCACTGTAAGCCGCCTGAATGGCCGCCCTTTCTTTTGCTCGGGCTTCTTTAGCTTGACGCCGTTTTTCTATACTTGCTTTTTCTTCAGCGTAAGATTGATTCTCATTTTTGCATTTCTGTGATGATATCAGCACGGTTTCAGAAACCATTAGCAAATTTACCTTGTAAGATGATAAGAACTGTTTAAATACACCGAAGAATTCTGATGTAGACGGCAATTTTTCAAGTTCACCATAAAAGCGAGCAGTATTTTGATAAGATGAATCTGCAAGCGCTAATCTATCAACCATGCCATCTAATTTTTCTTTGGCGACGGCCGAGAATTTCCACATCCTTTCAGGGTAGCCATCTTTAGGGTTTATCTTCTCAGGTTCACTGAAATTAGCTTCAAGTTCAGATATCAAGTGTTTGAGACCTTCTCTCAAATCACCTAATCCTTTCCTGACATCTGTCAAATTAACTGCTCAAGTTAGTCTTACTTATAAATGTGAAATTTCACTGACCTCGATAGGCATCAGCTGGCTTTGAAAGCTCATCGATAAATCCTTCCATCTCAGTGAAATGTTTAGCAACAGTTCTTTCAAGGAAGTGGACAAGTGTAGTTCCATTGGTTGATTTTGTGTCGACCATCTAATTGGTATAAGTATCAGAGTGATAGATTTAATGTCACTTACTTTGTTTAAACTAGTGATTTTGAAACCAAATGCACCACCTTTGACTCCTTGAGCATTCATATAATTACCGATCAACAGAACGAGCTAAAATTTGTTAAATTGGAACTGTACCAGTGACTGTTTTAGAATTCATGCTTACCTTCAACATTTCAATAAACTTCGGCGCAGCCATTAGATTCTCAGAAGCTTCATGAACTACTTCAACGCTCTGAAATTTTAAATTAGAAAAGTCACCACTAAGGGAATAAAGTTACTTACCTCAGACAGAATAGAATAAACTTCTTCAAAAACGGATTTGTAAAGCATCCCTTCAATTCGAGGACCCATTCTTTCGATTTTAATCAATTGAACCATCAGTCTATCAGCAGGATGTAAAGTTATCAGAACTTCTGGTCCAGCATCTCTATATGGAGCTAATTTACCAGCCTATAGATTATTAATAATGTGCTTTTAATAGTCATATAAACACACCTGCTCAGGAGTTGGAAGAACAGGTTTCAACTCGCTCAGGAATGTTTGCGTGCAAAAGTCTTCATCGAAGGAGAGTATTTTCGCCGCAATTTGCTCTGGCGAGTATTGCTTAACTCGTTGCATAACAATTTCTATCCTCTTTTGAGATGAAACGTCTAACACACTTATTAAATCTTTGTCCTTCTTCCGATTCATCAGATTGAGTACCATCTGTTTACTCTTGAAATCTTCTTCAAGTTCAATCCAAACACCGTCACGCTTAAGTTGATTAAACCACTCAGTTTCTGGTGCTTCATTGGTGAGACCCCATACTGTCTTGTCCAAATGAAGTTGATTTATTTTATCCCATTGCAGTTGCTTCATTTTCTGACTTGCACCATCAGGTAGCTCCTTCCTCTTTTGTGCGTTAAACAAGACTGATGCAGGTCTAGAAGATGAAGGAGGAGGTGGAGGCGGTGGCGGTAAACCAGTATTCGTCGCCGGTATAGCTTCTCGGAGGTTCCCAGATTTGAGTATATTTGCTAAGGAAGCATTTGGTGCTGTAGTTCCCGGAGGAGGCGGTGGTGGCGGCGGCGCAGGTGGTGCATTTGGTTTAGATGTGGTTGATGGTGCTACTGGAAGAGGAGGGGCTGGTGGAGGCGGTGGAGGTGGTGGTATAGGAGCACCTTGTGAAAGAGGAGCCGGACCCGTGAATGCCATTGGCGGCGAAGGTGGTGGCGGAGGCGGTGGTGGTGGTACTGGCATCGGTGCTGCCGATGATATCTCCGCATTCTTATCACTTGGTGGTAAGTTGTTGTCCATATCTTTTTCACCAGGAGCAAGCTTTCTGAGATTCTTTGTTTGGTTCTGGATTGAAGCTACGAATGGGTTCTGAGTATTTTCAGACTTACTTTCAATACCTGAAGCAGTTGATGTGACTTGTGTATCATCGCTTTGGGTAGTGAATCCACTCGCGTGGGCAAGCGTAATTTCCGAGTGGTCATCTTCAGATCCAGCTTCTTCTTGAACTGTGGATATATTTGATTCAGCCATTGGTCTGCCTTCCTTGTCTAAAAGTATTCCTGATGGCGATCTACGGCCTCGACTACGTATTTCATCGAGGAATGCTGGTTTGGTATTAAGTAGTTTATTACTTTGACGTTGGTTTGGATCGTTTGATGTCTTTAATGGTTCTGCTCTTGTAATTGGTGACTCTGCACTCTTTGGAACAACTTCATCATTTAAGTGAGACTTGTTTAAAATATTAACTTCTGGAGAAGCTGCTCCGGCATCCTTGTTAGTTATAAGCGCACTATCGCTTGAAATTCTCTTGCTACTCTTTTCTGGCTTTAATCCCGGTGTGAGTCGAGTAAGTGCTTTACGTTGATGAATATTACGGTCCAAATCTTTTGGCATATTTTGAAACCTGAGAGTACGAGGACTAGGCCTACGATCGCCCCCATTCCCGAGTTGAGAAGGTACCAACAAGGAAACGCCTTCGTTGATGAGCTTTTCGTGATGCTCTTGGACTTCTTCATCTTCAGCATCCATGAATTGTGAAGCATGACTATCGCTTTTCGTATTACTGTCGTAAGTGGCAACTGAACTAGCTGAATCTCTGTCTGCAACATTAAGCTTGGATATATCGCGACTGAGCTCTTGTGGTGCTCTAATCTTCTTATTTGTTAGTTTCTTCCCTTTCGCTGTTCGTCTACCTGGCTTAGTCTCCAGGACCTCAACATCTTCAGTACCATCATTCTCATCATCGGCATCCAATGCATTGAGTATTCTGGTACCTTCCAACTTTTTTGCTGTCTTGTGTCGAGCCAATTTCTTCTCAAGCTCAGTGATGAATTCACGTTGTTGTGATTTCTTTCCATCGCCCATAGTGGTTTCATCCACAGTAATCAAGTCATGAAAACCTTTTGTCTGTTTCAACATATCGAATAATTCACGAATAAGAGCTTCAAGTTCAGTTATCTTCTCACGTAATTTATCTTCCATTTCATCGGAATTCTCTTGAACCTTGTGCATCGCTTCTCGCGATATTCTGAGTGACTCTTCGGCTTCAGTTAGCTTTCTTTGCAATGTACTGACCAACGCCGTATCAGATGCAGAAGAAACGGGTAAATTAGTTGCATTATACAATGCTAACTCTTGTTCAAGCGCATCTTTTTGTCTCCTAGTCTTCACATGATGCATACGCTCGTTTTCCAGTTGATTTTCAAGCTTCTGCATTCGATCTTGATCTGTGAAACGTGATACAACTTTACCAACCGACACATTTGCTAAAGAAGAAAAGTCCGTAGTAACACCACCTTTACCATCCATGACTATCGATGAGATAATACTATCTACTAACTGCAAGTATCGTGTTCTAGTTTCGGTTTCTGCGGGTAAGAGTAATAAGTGTTGCAAAGCTGCATGAAAGAAGTCACGACCCCTAGATCCTTCGACAGAAGATAAGATAGCACGAAACACATCCTCTGTCGTTGAAAGACCACCAAGTACTTCATTATTTTGAGATTGTATCATTAAATCGTAATCTTCTTCGGCCAATTCTTCGTATTCATCAATAATATCATCCACACGTAAATGTTGAAGATTTCTTAGTTTGTCTGTGATTCGTTTCAACCCTGATGTTTCCAACTGAGTCCTTAAAAAGTGTCGTACAGCCGAATCTTCTGGTAGTCCAACAAGTTGATTAACGAGAAGCAGATTAACGACCTGATAATGTGAATAAGAATTATTGTAGGAATTATGTACTTACAGCATAATCTACTAACATGCTATCAGCAGAAATTGCATTTTTAAGTTCATCACTGGCTCCAACAAGAGAACCCATACGACCTCTTCCATCAATAGTAGCTTCAAATGATTTTAGCCATGGATCAAATCTTGAGTTTTCTTCATAATGAGCCTGTAGCGCGTCAAAAGATCTTAAAACTATCGAATGACCCCTTGGTTTATCCCATGATATCAAAAACAGTAGGATTTCTACAGCTTGTCGTCTCGTCTGTAGTTGTGGACTCATTATTGAAGCTGCTATTGAAGCAACTATAGTAGGTTGAGATGATACGTCACTTGCACCCGACTGAATGATGTGAGTTGATAACAGCAATTATGAGCAGGTAACTTACAGGGTAGTTGACAACATGTCGCATGCATTTGACAACTTCGGCTTCTAAAGTAGCGTCACCCTCTCTCTTTACAGTACGGTGATTTATAGTGTGTAGAACATTGGCCAGTACAGATGGACCGCGCAATTCTATAAATTCTTTCAGCCATCTGTTATAAATTTAGTATGTTATAGGAAAATTAACTTCATACCCACTCCAATGGCATTGTTCGCAAACTAACTGATAAATGAGAAACGTCGGTATGTAAAATATTACCACTGAGGAATTTACGAATGTAAGCTTGAGGAGGATCGTCGGCATGTCCTACAGGAGCTCTGGGTGAAGAAGTGATAGACTTTTCTGTACGACCATGTCTTTTAACAGCCTGTTTTTGCTTCAAAGCACTGCTATGAAGTAAAGCCCGTTTATTATCAATAGGTAGAGCTCTTAGGCGTGAAGCTTCAGCATCTCCTGGTGCTATAGAATGTACGAAAAGTTCAAAGTTTTCAACGATTTCAGCGTTTGACAGTGAATCCACGTTATGGATAGCTATACCAGATGTACCGACTTTACTGATCGAAGAAATAGAGTTATGGGATCTTCCTGAGTTAAATGAAGATGATGACTCAATGCCACCAAAGTTAAAGTCATTGATTGACCTCGAAGGGCCAGCTTCGAGAGAGGCGAATTCGCCACCGGTGAGGAGAGATGATAACTGTGAAGATCTTCCAGATGTGTAAGAATTCGCGTCAGATTGAACTCTAGAGTTGCGCTTCTGGGAGATCATCGACGATGAGAGTGGTGTCTTGGGCGTATCAAAAGATGACGAGTTGTTAAAATAATCTAAAGGGGGGCTACGGTAGCTATTATCTCTACTCATACTGTCCTCGCTGTTTGAGCTCGAGTTTAGATTTGGGTTGGTATTTGGAGCTGAGATAATTCCATTGAGATTAGAGTCACTGCTATCTGTATCAGGATTGAGCCTTTGCTTAGACTTTTTCTTTGACGTTATCGTAAATAGAGAGTCCATTTTGGACTAAATTGGTATTTCTTCCTTATAGTTATAAGACAAGAGTTGAACTATCGATTATAAATTCTTTTTATTTTATTACAATTATTTAATACCATCCTTCACCAAATACGACACAAAGCGTGAGCTTTGGCTTGTCCCGATATCGCATGGCCAGTTGGTATAATACGACGGCCCGTTCAAAGCAACTCATTCATCGTCTGAGTCGTAGAATTCATCTGACATGTTATCCTCATCCAGTGCAGCAAGGTGTGCTAAATCGACCTGGATTTTGTTAGTCATTCGTCAAGGAACTAAGCTAAACTGACCTTGTAACGTAAGAGACCACCGACACCACCGAAACCACGAACGAATTGAGCACCTTCTTGTGATTTGTCTGTGACGAATTCCAAGTTTGCACCAAATTCTTTGTAGTTCTCTGCAAACCACTCTAATAATGATTGTGGCTCGCCAATTGGCTCCATTTCAGAACCGGTTGACTGATCGATAAACTTGGAGCGGTCATCCTCTTGACCCTTGCTAATGTGTAAAACAACTTCTTCACCTGCGGCGTTACGTAATTTGTGACGGGTAACTTCCAAGTTTTCGAATACAATCAAATCTTGAACAGCACCGAGATCAAGTGCACGTAAAGTATCTTCTATACCAAAGCAGAATTTACCGGTATCCAAAGAAATTTCATCGAAGTATCTTGAAATCAATTTCTTTTCTTGGACGAACTTGACATTTTGGAGTGATTCTGCGGACAAATCGATGGCTTGGTTGAAACCGTTTTCACCACCATAAGAAACGTCGACAATTTTAACAATCTTGGATGCTAATCTTGGATCGAAGAGATCAGACTGACTTAATTCGTTCTTGAAGTCAGCACTACCAGCGAGAACCAAACCAGCGACGTTAATCTTATCAGCTGTAATAAAGTGTTGAACAGCGACTTCGGCAACCTTTCTAACGTAATTATGACGCTTTTCGTCACGTAAACGAGAGAAACGCATAGCAGATTGACCACCACGTCCGTGCTTCTTTGGCAAATCGACGGTGAACTTGTTGATAACTTCACGGGTGTTACCTGCTAAAGTACCGAACAAAGAGCCGTTACCATCCATAATGATGAAACCGAATTTAGTGTCCGATTCTAACAGTTCTTGCAAAGCCTCTGTGTGGAACTTGTTGTCACAGAGGTAAAGGGAAGTGTTAATAGGACGATGAGGTTCAAAGTCAATAGAAACCTTCTTTTCTTTTCCATCATCAGTAACGATCGTACCAACGAACAAAACCAAACCGTTGTTTGGCATACGAGTGTAAAGCTTGAGACGCTGTTGAGTGGAAGTGATAGCGGCCAAAACAGATAGTCTATTAACACGTGATTTGATATTTGAAGCCGTACCATATTCTTGTGTAAGCATAGCGCTCAATTGAGATATTTGTGCTCTACCGTTCGAGATCAAACTAATCATGGAAGTACCATTACCTCTAACGGAGTCCAACCAACGTATGACTCTCTTCATTTTCCAGATTTGCACATTTTGTGCAGCAATGTCGTCCGAACTTGACATTCTAGATGATCGTTCTAAGTAAAAAGTGAAGAATTTTAAAAGGAAGATAAATCCGTTAAAAATAATTAAAAATAATTAATTTTAATGTTTTATTTTATTAGATTTTATTAATTCCGTCTTTACTCCTTGATTAGCTACCACCTTCATGGCCTCGAATAATATCAAAGTTGTAGCACGTTTTAGACCGGTAAATAAAGTTGAGCGCAATCAATACCCCCCGGATGGAAGGCCTGTTATAGATATCAGCGATACCAATGATCAAGTCAAGCTTAATAACGATGACTATTCTTTCGATAGAGTCTTTAACTTGGATTCAAAGCAAGAAGACGTTTTCGAGTACGGCGTTAGAGGCATCGTAGACGATGTCATCTCTGGTTACAACGGTACCGTCTTTGCTTACGGTCAGACCGGCTCCGGTAAAACTTACACCATGATGGGCTCTGATATCGACGATAACAACTCGAAGGGTATCATTCCACGTATCACTGAACAGATATTCGAGTCTATTCTCACTTCTCCTCCTAATATGGAATATCTCGTTAAAGTCAGTTATATGGAAATCTATATGGAACGGATCAGAGACCTTTTATCTCCTTCGAACGACAATTTACAAGTACACGAAGATAAGTTGAGAGGTGTATACGTCAAGAACCTCTCAGACTATTACGTCGGTGACGCGAAGGAAGTTTATGAGATTATGAGACAAGGTAGTTTAGCAAGAGCCGTTTCTTCTACCAATATGAATGCTGAATCCTCACGGTCTCATTCCATCTTCCTTATTTCAATCGTTCAAAAGAATATCGAAACTGGTTCTCAAAAGACTGGTAACCTATACCTCGTTGATTTAGCTGGTTCTGAAAAAATAGGTAAGACTGGAGCAACCGGTCAAACTTTGGAAGAAGCAAAAAAGATCAACAAGAGTTTGTCAGCCCTTGGTATGGTCATTAATGCTTTAACTGATGGAAAATCTACACATATACCCTACCGTGATTCCAAATTGACAAGAATTTTACAAGAATCCTTAGGTGGTAACTCCAGGACAACCCTGATCGTCAAGTAAGTATATTAAGTCCTTAAGTCCCTCTCTAATATGTTCTTAGTTGCTCACCATCTGAATATAATGTTGATGAGACTGTCTCAACTTTGAGATTCGGTATGAGAGCCAAGTCAATTAAGAACTCTGCCCGTGTTAACACTGAATTGTCTCCTGCTGAACTCAAAAACCTACTGAAAAAGTCTCAAAGAGATCGTGCAATTTACGAGGAATTTGTAAATGCATTAGAGGCTGAACTCAAACTTTGGAGGTCGGGTTTAACAGTTCCAAAAGAAGAATGGGCTACCAAAGAACCTTCTGCAAAGGAGAATATACCTCTTAATAATTTAATACCATCTTCTCAGTCAAAACCTATGATTCAAAATATCGATAATACTAGAGAAGAAGTTCGTACAAACACCATTCCTACAAATTTGGATAAAGATGAAAGAGAGGATTTCTTGAAGTATGAAAATGAGTTGAGTGATCAATTAGCTGATAAAGAAAAAGCTGTTTCTTCACTCGAAAGGGTACTTAAAGAGTTACGTGACGAGCTTGAATTTTATAAATCTTCACATCAATCTATCAATGAGGAAAATTCAAATTTCCAGACTCAATTATCTGACCTTCGTCTACAATTTGAGAGATTAGAATTTGATAATAAGGATAACATTATCAACATGGATGTCTTACGTGACAGAAATGCTGAATTAACAGCTTCTGTAAATGATCTTAATAAATCACTAGAAGAAGCAAAGAATGCTGAGAAGGATTCCCTTGCTGAGGACTTTGAAAAGAAGAAAGCAGAAAAGATGGCTCAAATGATGGCTAAATTTGATGCAACCGGTTTCTCTGAGAAGAATGATACTTTACGGGATGTACTTTCCAAATTGGATGAAATCGATATCAATGAGAATTCTGATCGTAGTGGTTTAACATCAGATGATTTATCAACTATAAGACGTCAACTTATTGAAATGCAATCTTTAACACGTGATTCACAAGACAAGCTTCGTGCTAGTGAACAGGACAATAAGGCTTTAGTTTCAAAGAGAGAAGAAGTCGAAACTAGATTACATAGCCTTGAAAGTGAATTTGAGGAACTCCTTGAAAAATCAATTAAAGAAGAAGAGGCAAATAATTTAGATTTACAAGAATCTATCAATGGAATTAAGGAAAAACTCGAAGCTCAATATAATACCAAGAGAGAGAAAGTTGAGATTGAAGTTAATGATTTACGTCAACAGATTGAAGTTAAAAACCACGATGTTAAAACACTAAAGGATGAAGTTAAAACAATGAATGGCTTGAATGATGAACTCAAACGTGCATTCGCTGTCACTTCTGCAGGTATTGAAGGTGGTAAAAACTTGGTTGATTCGGCCAAAGACCTCGAAAGGACGCGTAAGAGTCTTGCATCTCAACTAAATGAATTTGAGGGTATGAAAAAGTCATTGATGAAAGATCTGCAAGATCGTTGTGAGAAAGTGGTTGAATTGGAAATTGAGCTTGATCAATATAAAGAACAATACGCTCAAGTTTTGCGTAGCACCAATAACAAAGCGGCTCAAAAGAAGATGGCATTCTTGGAGCGTAACTTAGAACAATTAACTCTTGTTCAAAAGGGACTTGTCGATCAGAATCAGTCATTAAAGAAGGAAGTTGCTATAGCTGAGCGCAAATTGTTAACTAGATCCGAAAGAATTAGCAACCTCGAACAACTTTTACAAGAAGCTGATAAAAGATTAGTTATCTCTAACGCTAAGTTCGAAGGACAATTACAGGCCGTAAGAGAGCGTCTTGAACAAGCCAGATGTAAGTCTATAATGCCTCCTTTAAAGAAAACATATTAACGCTAGCCTAGCACAAAAAGCCTCAACTACTGCTTCTATTAATTTCGGTAGAATTGCTAAACCTCTTCGGGTAAGTCAATTTTATACTATATTGAATGAAGGCTGAAAATAATTAGGGTGGTGGTGGCAGCGGTTCAGCTGGACCTTCTCCGACAAATAAAAAGACAATCGATTTGTCAGGAATCGCTGACAACGATGATGGATCTTCAAGTAAGATAATATTATCTTTTTTCAAACACTAAACTGATAATTTAAACCAGCTAAACGTGCCTCATGGTTCTTCTCAGCCGGCAAGTAATTCTTTATTTAATCCATTATGTTGTTATATGTTTATATTTGTATACATGTTATCCTTTCACATATAATATATTGATCGATCTTCGAATGATTATTTATTCTTTATCGTTAGGCGCTGAAAACGTATGACCTATTTTAAAACGAAACGTAAATGGAAACGAAATAAACAATCTCAGACTTCATAACGTCGAATATTGACTGAAAAAGATTGTATGCTGTAATAATTAAGTGGTGATGTAATGCCGACTAAACAAATTAGGGATGACCATGGTCTTTTTAATGTTTCAATAGTCACTCATAGTATTCAAATGGGTATATACATATATGAAGGCGATATTTACAAGATCTAAATATTTCCATATACAACTTAATGCGTTTGTTAGGTTCTTGACTTGCATTCCTCATCAGAAGAGCAAACATTCCTCGTTACATTCCTCGTTAGGGCTCATTGTTCACGTAAACAATAGTGTAAAAAATAAATACATGAGAACAGCCTTATTACTACATTGATTGCTATTTAGTGAACTATTATAAGGAGAAAAAGCTTTTCAGTAATAGTTCAATTGTGTTATAACAAAGTCTTACACCAAAATCGGAGTACTGTGAAGTTTCAGCACGATTTCATAACTCGTCCCAAATGATATAAACAATAATTTGCATTAATGTCTAACAGCATTCTTAATGAATGACACATATTAGTTCCTTCTGTATCGAGTAGCGAGTATATGGTAAAACATGACTCAGATTCAAATAGAACCACGACAAAAAAGTTCGTGTTTTGCAAGATAGGCTTTGATGCTGTCAAGTTAGTTTGAGGATGAAACGAACTCAAGAACAAAACAGGCAACGAAAAAGCGCGTGAGTTTATATGAATTTTGAGCGCTTGAATTAATATATCTAACACTACCTAATTTATCCTGCAATTTTTATTTCTTACATATGCACGGACGCGACACAGTTCTTCTTGAACTTCCAAGTCTTTCTCGAAAGCACCCTTATTAGCTAGAGTCAAGGCCCATTTAGTTTAAATTCTAATAAAATATAATGCGTGAAGTTATCTCAGTCGTAAGTTGGATAGTTTGAGCTGCCACGTCAACTAAAGTAAACGAAATAGCACGTCGGTCAAGCTGGTGTCCAAATTGGTAATGCCTGTTGTAAGTAATTAATTATTAAGTAAAAAGAATCATAATTGACGCGTTTTAGGGGAACTCTACACCGTTGAACACGGTCTCTCCGTAAATAGAAATTAACGCGCAGAAATGAAATTAACAAAACATACAGCCAGATGGTCGCTTGATGCCAGACTCACCATCAGCTAACGACGACGGTTTTTCCACTTTCTTCTCTGAGACAGGCTCAGGTAAACACGTACCACGTTCGATTTACGTCGATCTCGAGCCAAACGTAGTTGACGAAGTTAGAACTGGTACCTACAGATCACTTTTCCACCCAGAGACACTCGTTACTGGTAAGGAAGATGCAGCAAACAACTACGCCCGTGGTCACTACACCGTTGGTAAGGAGCTTGTTGACTCAGTACTCGACAGAGTACGTCGTCTTGCAGACAACTGTTCAGGTCTTCAAGGTTTCTTCGTCTTCCACTCATTCGGTGGTGGTACCGGTTCAGGTTTCGGTGCACTCCTCCTTGAACGTCTCTCACTTGACTACGGAAAGAAATCAAAGCTTGAATTCTCAGTTTACCCATCACCAAAGATGTCAACTTCCGTCGTTGAACCATACAACAGTGTTCTTACAACTCACACTACCCTTGAACACTCAGACTGTTCATTCATGGTTGACAACGAAGCAATCTATGACATTTGCCGTAACAGACTCGGAATTCAAAGCCCATCATACACAAACTTAAACAGATTGATCGCTCAAGTTGTATCATCAGTTACTGCTTCACTTCGTTTCGATGGTTCACTTAACGTTGACCTTAACGAATTCCAAACCAACTTGGTTCCATTCCCACGTATTCACTTCCCACTCGCTTCATACGCACCAATTATCTCTGCTGAGAAGGCTACTCACGAGCAAAACTCAGTCTCAGAAATGACATTCTCATGCTTTGACCCAGGTAACCAAATGGTTAAGTGTGACCCACGTCAAGGCAAATATATGGCATGTTGTCTTCTTTACAGAGGTGATGTTGTACCAAAGGATGCTAACGCATCAGTTGCAACCATCAAAACTAAGCGTACAATTCAATTCGTTGACTGGTGTCCAACTGGTTTCAAGCTTGGTATCTGTAATGAAGCACCTGCATTGGTTCCAGGTGGTGATCTCGCTAAGGTTTCAAGATCATTATGTATGCTTTCAAACACTACAGCTATCGCAAACGCATGGGCACGCCTTGACCACAAATTCGACTTACTTTACTCCAAGCGTGCCTTCGTTCACTGGTACGTTGGTGAAGGTATGGAAGAAGGTGAATTCTCTGAAGCAAGAGAAGACCTTGCTGCACTTGAGAAAGACTACGAAGAAGTTGGCGTCGACTCTGCAGACGGCGTTGAAGAAGAGGTTGAATATTAAAAATAAAATTATTTGATATCCAGATTTGTTAAATTTAAACATTTTTATATTCTTTAACCTTCACAATAATGATGAGAGCGAGAAACGTGAGATTATTTGCATCACATTCTAATTTGAATACAATACCTAAACCAACACCTTCAATATTTAATGTTTTTGATAGAGAAACAAAGATTTGGCAGAAGGATGTGGCCGCTAGTAACGTAAGCCAGTCAAGAGTTGTGGATTACATTAAGAATGAAATTGGAGAGAGCTTTAGGGATAGGTTACTTGATATAAAGAGGAGATATAATAAAGCTATTTGTATTGGTTCTGGTTCTAATCAAGTGGCTAGAGTTTTGGATGAAGAAGAATTAGCAGATGATATACACATAGCGGATTCATCAGGTGAGGTAACAATTAATTATTGGTGAACTTCATTAAATATTTTATAGTTAAGTCAGTTCTTAGGGATAAAGAGTTTGATAGTGATTTCGCTAGTAAGTTCTTATCGTATATCGTGCGTGTTCTTTACTAATGATATACCTAGATATTCCAACAAGACATCAAATTGATGAGGAACATCCTTCAATGAATTCACTCTTTAAAACTAATTCAACTGATATTATTATATCTTCATTAGGTTTACACTGGGTTAACGATTTACCTGGAGCCTTGATTCAATTTAATCACGCATTAAAGCCAGATAGCCCATTTTTAGGTTGCTTATACGGTGGTGATTCACTCTTTGAACTTCGTACATCATTACAATTAGCTGAACAGGAACGCTGGGGTGGATTTGGTCCTCATGTTTCACCTATGACGGATACGACGGATGTAGGAAATTTAATGAATAGAGCAGGATTCACTTTATTAACAATAGATATTGATGATTTAGTCATAAACTATCCATCGATGTTCGAATTGATAGAAGATCTTAAATTTATGGGTGAATCTAATTCAATTAACGGTAGAAGGGCACATATATCTAGAGATACTTTGATTGCAGCTTCGGAAATTTATAAATCACTTCATGGTAATGAAGATGGTACAATCCCTGCAACATTTCAGATAATAAACGTTATTGGTTGGAAACGATCAGATGATCAACTTAAACCACTTAAGAGGGGATCTGCTACGAGATCAATGAAAGAACTTGAAGATTGATTTAAATTAATTGTATTTTAATAGATTTTAACGCATTGATACCTTTGACGTAAACTGTCAAGAATGGCAAGTATCGAAGAGGAGAAATGCACCTTAAAAGTAGAGGGAATGACATGTAGTTCTTGTGTACAGGTTAGATTAAACTAGTATATTGTTATTTAACTTACAATCTACAGAGTATAGAGAGTTATATTGGGAAATTACAAGGTGTAAACTCTATTCAGGTTGCATTGCTATCGGAGAAAGCTACAATAACATATTTGAAAGATTATTGGGATCCTGAGAAGCTTGCAAATGTGAGTCAAGTTGTATTATTAATCAAGCCTTCCAAATTTAGTTAAATCATAAATAGGAAATTGATGAAATGGGATTTGAAGCATCAGTTTTAACAGATTTGAACTCAAGTTCTATTATTGATATCTCAATTTTTGGTATGACTTGCTCTTCCTGCACCTCTTCAATCGAAACCGCCTTATCAAACTTGGAAGGCGTCATTAATGCAGATATTTCATTACCTTTAGAATACGCTAGAATTCAATTTAATCCGGACATTGTTGGTGTTAGAGATATAGTGGAACTTATCCAAGAAACTGGTTTTGATTGCATGATACGTGATGATAGAAATGATAGTCAATTAAAATCTTTATCTAGGATTAAGGAAGTTAATCAATGGAAATCTGCATTAAAGTATTCAGCTTATTTCTCTATACCAGTTTTCATTATTGGAATGGTTTTACCAATGATACCCTCAGTCGAACCAATCATTTTCTATAATTTATGGCGAGGGATAACTATCGGTGATTTAAGTTGTTTATTATTAACCTTGCCAGTTCAATTTGGTGTTGGCAAACTCTTTTATAAGCCGGCTTATAAAAGTTTAATTCATCGTTCTGCAACAATGGACGTTCTAGTCGTATTTGGTACGACAGCTGCCTTTATATATAGCACAGGTGTCATGATTTCCAGCATATTCACTTGGTCAAATAATAGTATTATCCCGCAAACATTCTTTGATACTTCAACCATGTTAATTACATTTGTAACGCTTGGTCGTTACCTAGAAAATCTTGCGAAGGGCAAAACGAGTTCAGCTTTGTCTGATTTATTACAATTAGCGCCAAATTCCGCTACTATATACCTTCATTATGATGAAGATCATTCAAATGATTTACAATTTGAGGAAAAGCAAATTTCAACAGATTTATTACAGAAAGGGGATTATATTAAGTTAGTACCAGGTGAAAGATTACCTGCCGATGGTTATGTTGTTAAAGGGAGTTCATCAATTGATGAAAGTATGATTACAGGTGAACCTATCCCTATTGTCAAAGAAAAGGGTGATACTGTTACGGCTGGTACAATGAACAATAATGGAACCATTGATGTATGTGTAACAAGATCAGGTACTGATACTGCTTTATCACAGATAGTTAAATTAGTTGAAGATGCACAGACTTCAAAAGCGCCAATTCAAGCATTTGCAGATAAAATAGCTGGTTATTTTGTTCCAGTAGTTATTAGTTTAGGTTTAATAACATTCATTACTTGGTTAATACTATCGTATTTAATCATACCTCAATCATCTTTACCACATATCTTCAATCAACCTGGAATGAGTAACTTTGCGGTATGTCTGAAGTTATGTATTTCAACTATAGTGGTCGCATGTCCATGTGCATTAGGATTATCAACTCCAACTGCCGTTATGGTGGGAACAGGTGTAGGCGCACAAAATGGTATCTTAATTAAAGGTGGACAAGCACTCGAACAAGCTAGTAAAATAAAGAGAGTTATTTTTGACAAAACTGGTACAATAACGAAAGGTGACGTTAACGTTGCTGCAATTGAATGGAACGAAGAAAGTTTTAGTGACAATGTTCATTCTTTAGGATTCACGAAGGATGATGTAATGAGAATTGTTGCTTTAGTTGAGTCAAAGAGTGAACATCCGTTAGGTCAAGCTATTACAAACCATTTTAATGATTATGACCTTACATCAAAAAATACTGAAATAGTCTTAAAAGATTGGGTATCTCATACAGGTAAAGGCGTTGAAGCTCAAGTATCATTAACGTTTCCACAATATTCTTCAAATCAATTGATATATAAAATACAAATTGGTAATAATAGTATCACATCAAATGATATTAAAGAACCGAATATCTTTGAACAATTCAAAAATATCAATTCTATAAAGGGCTTTACAATTGTTTACGTCACTATTGAATCAGAACCTATAATGGTTATTGCTTTAGGTGACGAAATAAAGTCAAATGTTATGGAAACAGTAAACTGTTTAATGAATAACTCCATTGAAAGTTATTTGATGACAGGTGATCAAATGTCAACTGCATTATCAATAGCACAAAAAGCAATCATACCAAAAGATCGAGTATTCGCAGGTGTTAGTCCAAAAGGTAAACGTGAAAGAGTTATTGAAATGATGAAAGATAATGATGGGACTGTTGCTATGGTAAGTTTAGCATCTTTGATTAAAAATATTTGAACTTTTCTAGGTTGGTGATGGTATAAATGATTCACCTGCACTTGCTGCTGCATCAGTTGGTATAGCATTAGCGTCAGGCTCATCAATAGCTATCGAAGCAGCTGACATAGTTTTAATGAGACAAGGAGAGATTGAAGATGTCTTCAGCTCAATTCAGTTATCTAAAGCTATAATGAAAAAGATAAAGATGAACTTCTTATGGGCTTGTGCTTATAATATAGTTTTTATACCTCTAGCAATGGGTATGCTACTCCCTTGGAATATTCACTTACATCCAATGATGGCAGGCTTAGCAATGGCATGTTCATCAGTTTCAGTCGTAATAAATAGTTTAACTTTAAAATTCTGGACTAGACCAAGCTTACAAGATAGAAGATCAAATACAGTAACACTTTTTGATAAAGTGTTTAAATTATGGGACGCAATTTCAGCTAGACAAATGAATATTCAAAAAGATGGATATCAATCTGTGCCGATTGAAATGTCAAGAGCATGAAATTCGCTTTGTATTATAAATAGTAATTTATTACTTCCGTTTTCACTTCTTTTGTAAGAAAGCGTTTATCCTTTTGTTAAATGATATCAGATGATATTCCACAACAGTAAAAACGTACCTTTGATAATCGGAATTCAACTTTTGTGAATCAGTTTGTTTCTTTTCAGGTAAGGGAGCTTGCTGTTCACCTGTATCTTTACGTATACCTTGCTTTGCAAGCCAAACTTGTTTACGTTGTTTACGACTTTCAGTGATTTCAGCTTGCTTATCAAATTCGATTCGTTGAGAAATATTTGGTAAAGCAGAAGAAGATAAACCAATTAATCTACCCGTATCATCTAACTCAGGTGTAGGCGAAGGTGAGAAAGAGTGGACTGAATCTGGTAGAGGAGAAGGAGGGGGACTAAAGCGAGGTGAAGGATGAGGTGAAGGATGGGGTGAAGAAGAAGGGCTACTTGAATTATCGTTATCACTGGGTGGATTGTAATCACCTACATCATTAAAAATGTCATCATCAGAGTTTAAAGCTTCGTGTTTAGGCGGTATATACTTTGCTACTTCAGAGTCAAGATTATTGTCGTCATTTAAACTATCAATTTTAGATTTTTTCAACTCTAATAAAATGTCATCTCTATTTCTCTTTCTTTTTGTTGTATTTAATTCGTTTAGTTTTGATGATCTATCAGTGTTGTCTATATCATTTAAACTACTAGAGAAATTATCCAAATTTCTTTCTTGCTTTAAATCTTTTTGCTGGTTTAATAATTCAAGATTCAGACCATTTTGTTTACCAATGTTCTTAAATTTATCTTTCTCTCGTAATAGGTTTCTAAAATCGTTTTGCTTCATTGATCGATGAACTTCGTTAAGAGATGCGAGGAGAATAATTTAAAGTTTTCAGTCAGGTTAACTTTGTAAACTATAATGAAGATGAAAGAATATTTCATTTTACTTATATTTCAATTCTGCTGATATGCTTTCTAAAAGTTCATGTAGAATAGTGTTTATATTTATATGTATATAATTTATAAATTAGGTGCGTTATTTATGATCAAACTGCTTGAAGTTTTATAGCCATTTAATTCCAAAAGTTTATTCAAGATTCCTCTATGTTGTGGTTGATTTGAAGGTGGGGATGATGACGTTATATTATTACTTATTGATTCAATCTCCTTATCCCTCCTCATTGGTTTAACGTCCTTTAATTTAATAATTAGATATCATGATTATCATAATTACGATAGATTACTCACACTAAAATCATCCTGATTTACAGCCGCTATCGAATAAATGTAAACTGTGGACGTGAATGTTAAAATGACGAAACCAGTTAACAGGTTTTTATATAAGAACGGTACTCTTGCTCTACGTAAACCATTTGACATATCCTATAAAGTAAATGAATAATTGATAATTTGTAATTTTTATTATTTATTTACATATTTATTCGGTCTATAACTATTGTATTCACCTTTAAAATGGACCATCAGTTGTTAAAAAGTTTATATGATCAAAAGTATGAGAGAAGGAAATTCGCTGCTTTAGAATTAGAGAAAGACTTATTGAATTTTTTAAATAAGAATGAATTAAATAAAATAAAATTAATTATTGATCAATTATCTAATAGCTTAAATAAAGATAAGCCAATAAATATAAAAAATGGTGGTCTAATAGGTTTAGCTGCTGCAGCTATAGCATTAAATGATAACTTGAATAATTATTTAGATGTAATTATAAACCCAATCTTGTTATGCTTCAATGATCAAGATTCTAGGATTAGATACTTTGCTTGCGAATCTATGTATAATATCGCGAAAGTTTCAAAATCTAATTTATTACCTTACTTTGATCAATTATTTGAAAATTTAATCAAGTTATCTTCAGATACAGAGATATCTGTAAAAAATGGTTCAGAATTATTGGATAGATTATTAAAAGATATCATCATTGATAATGCTAATCTTATCAATTTAGATAATTATTTAACTTTAATTGAAAAAAGGATATACGTCGTTTCTCCTTTCACAAGAATTTTTTTAATATCTTGGTTAACAATATTCGATTCCATATCTGACTTGCAAATTTTGAATCATCTTTCTAAAATTTTGGATGGTTTGTTTAGATATTTATCAGATAATTCTGTTGATGTTAAAACTTCAAGTCAACATTTATTGGATAGTTTTTTAAACAAAATAGTAAAAACAAAGTTCAATCATTCACAATTTACAGTTGATTATTTATCAATCTCAAACATCTTAATTAATCATTTAAACTCAACTAATGAAGAAATTCAATTAAATTCCTTTAATTGGTTATTAGAGTTATTGAATTGTCAATCAAACTTTCTAGTACCATCTTTAACTCCAAAACTAATTCCTTCAATCTTACCTTTCTTATCGCATAATAATCAACAAATTAATGGTTTGGTTAAATCTCTAAATTTCAAATTATTCGACGTAATAAAAAACTTGAATGATTTAAATTCTTTTGATTTTCAATTAACCTTATCTAACTTAACCATTCAATTACTGAATGATTTAACTGAGACCAGAGTTGCTGCTTTAGATTGGATGCTTATGTTACAAGAAAAGTCTTCGAATAAAATTTTCAATTTGCAAGATGGTACCTTTCCAGCTTTACTTAAAACTCTTTCGGATCCCTCAGAACACGTCGTTAAGAGAGATTTACGTTTATTAGCACAAGTTTCAAAATCATCCTCATTAGATTATTTTAACGCATTTATCAAAAATCTGATCAAATTATTCTCAACTGATCGTCGCTTACTAGAGAAAAGAGGTTCTCTGATTATAAGACAACTGTCTTTAAGTTTAGGGTCCTCCAAAATTTATAATGCTCTAGCTGATATTCTTCAATATGAAGATGACCTAGATTTTGCTAGCTTTTTAGTGCAAAAGTTAACCGTAGTTTTAATTACTGCGCCAGAGCTAGCAGATCTTCGGAAACGGTTGAAATGCTTTGAGTCTAAGGATGACGAATTACTGTTTTGCAAAATTTACAAATCCTGGTCGCATAATGCAATTTCGATATTTACTATTTGTTTACTCTCACAGCATTTCGAGCATGCAAGTGAATTATTATATATAATGTAAGTAGATCTTACTTCAAACAAGAATTTTACTCAGAGTGGGTATAGTTCTGAATTGGAAGTTACAGTCAATCTATTAATTCAAATAGATAAACTAGTTCAATTAATAGAGTCCCCTGTTTTTATTGGTAAAGTTTAAATAATTTAATTAACTAAAGCTGACATTATATACAGGTTTACGATTACAATTACTTGAACCAGATAACAACCCTTACCTTTATAAGTGTTTATATGGTCTCTTGATGTTACTTCCACAAAGTTCAGCATTCACAACTCTCAAAAATAGACTAAATTCAGTTGACTCACAATTTAAAACACTCACTCTCCATACTCAAAGGTAAGTAAAATAATATTCGTTAAAAAGTTAATAACTATCTAGAAAACAACTATCTTCTCCACAACCTTCAACTTTACCATGGAATGAGTTGAAAGATCACTTCAGATCAATCCAATATCGCCATGAAGAAGCTAGAACTATCCAAATGATTGAATCTTATAGTGTAGATAATGATTTCGATCAAAATACTGCAATTTCTACGTCCAATTCAGAAAATCATGAAGATCCACAAAATACAAGAAACGTATCTTCATTTACAGACTTTGATTCTAAAAGTGATTTCAGTAAACATCAATTAAACACTTTGTTACATAACAGACAAAGTGATTCATCAGACTTCTCACCTTCGGCGTCCATGTCAAGTATAAAATCACGCTTTGGTATCACACCGATGTCTAACAAATTAATTGACAAAAACTCTTTATCGGATACAAGTGGTACCATAACGCCCTACGCTAACACATCGGGCCCAAGTGTTGCAAAGACAACGTATGATCTAGCAAATGCTGATTTAAATTTAAATGATACACAAAGATCACATACCTCTGGCAGCTCATCAAAGAACTCATTAAGAAGACTAAGCGCTGCTTACTGATTGAAATTATATCAATGACATACTTTATTAATACCATTCAGCATCATATTATTAGTCCACAAATTTCATTTCAGTTCATCAAAAATGACAAATCCATGGACAAAGTAAAACGTTAACTACTATAATTTGTCTTAACATAAATAATCGTATGACAGTTAATGCCTGTGATTAATCCAATCTTACTTTTTCGGTTAATTATTTGATGTAGAGATGTGGTTACCAGATGTTCTATGTCTGTTGGGCACCTGAGAAGACGTTATGATATTGTTATTACTATCAAATGAATAGGATCTATGTCAGATGATTTTAATTTATAACATTTTCTTCCTTATATGTATTCACCAATGTCATACAATTCTTGTTCCTTTTATTTTTACGCCGCTTTGATTGGTCGCGCTCATGTCTAAATGTAATCGTGGCGCTCTGTGATTCTTGTCTTGTCTCTAACCGTACCTCGAGACATACTCCTGTTCATTGGTTTGGTGAAACACGCGTCCGTGTTTCATTGTTCTTTGACGCTGTATGTTTAAGCGCAGTATCTGGATTTCAACAGATAATTTAATTTTTTGTAGATTTTATTGAATCTTTAAAATAAATTTCAGAGCCCAAATTTATGTTTTTATCATTTTATTAGTGTTCAGAAGATCT